GCAAAGAGCTACATGCTCGTTGATTTCATCTTTATATTCATGGTACTTTATCAACGCCTTCTGTTCGTTCTCGATTCCCCATTGACAACTTGCATTCTTTATTTGACTTGGCTTAGTAATCTTGTTCACAATAGTTTTTGGGTAGATTGTTTTTCTCCTCTTCACTACACAACCAAATAATGATGAAGTCAACCGACATTTTCTCTGTTTATACCACTCTTCACACTCATTTTGCTTGCGCGTGTTCTTCTCAATCTCTCTGCATCCCTAATTATTAACAAACAATTTCTCCATAATATATTCACAATTTTCCTTGTCTGGAACACAAGTACAATCTAAATTCTGAGTTAATTTTTTTAGAATACTAGATCTGACAGCTGTTTGGTCCAGTTTGTCACCCACTTCCCCTGCCTTCATTATGCGCTGTCTAGATGGTAATTCATTTGCAGTAAACTCACCAGGTTCACAATTGGTGTTGCCTAGGATACCAACCAAATGACAAGTGCTTCCTGCTTTTTCCAAGCTAGTTTTAAGCCGTTCCAAGTCATTCTTTGACACCTTCTCTCTTGTTGAGTAGTAGTCCTCCCTCTTCCCTTCTGGTATTGGGCGTTTACGTCCTTTTTTGTCCTTATCATACGAATCCTGGGGGAAAATGAGGTCCTCGAAAAGCAGGGCTGCTTGTGTTGTGTTCTTTCTAGGAACATGCCACTTTTGTAATTCCTGGGTGCAGGTTTTATCATCTGGTATATCTGAGAGTCCAAGTTCAATGTAATCGAGAAGCTGATACAAAGTAGCTGCCACATGTTTACAACAGCCACCAGCGCCAGCAGGGCAGTAACATTTTGCATAGGCAATATCTCCTGAATGTTGATGAAGGTGGACATAAACAAGGTACTGTTTTTTCTTCATTTCTGCATTTACATGGCACCGTACAAGAAAATGAACTGCTTCATTTCCTTTCTTTACATTGGGTTTCACCATAATCTGCCTTGGATAACCAGCTTTAAATAGTTTGTATCCACTTTTCTTGTGCTTCAATGCCTCAGCAGGCTTGCCATCAGGTGTTTTTTTTGCTTCTAGTACCAAATGATCCTCAAATTTTTTGTACGAGAATCCAGGAATAAACTTTAAACTCTTTGTCCAACCATCCCCCAATGCTGCCAAATCCTTATCTGCCTCCGATGAAGTACCCGGCTCAATATCCATCAAAAACTTTATATTATTTAAACCTATTTACAAATTTAATCCTTAGGGCCTGCCTGAAGATTAAAATACCTAAATTTACTATAAATAACTACATTTTAAAAATTGACTATATTATATTCTACTACCTTAAATGCAAATTTAAAACGGTTTTTCCTACGTTAATATAACTACGAATTTAATATATTTTAAGCCTAATATTTTAATACTAAAAACCTACTTGTTTATTTTGACAGGAAATAAACCGACCACAACAAAGGAAGCAGAAAAATAAGCGACAACAGAGGCAAAATGATTTCTCTTTGGCGTTTTTACAAAGTAACGGAGCCGGGGCAGAAAAACCGCTTTGAACTGCTTTTAGTTCGCGCCAAAACATTTTAAGGTCTCTTTAAAACATTGTGTTTGAGCGCCATGCCGATCGAACGATCGACAGACATTTTGTCATGAATTAGTCGATTTCAACAAGCGAAAAAATCGGCAGGAAACACTCGATCGTTGTCAAAATACGAGATATACATCAAGAAACAACACACACAAATTTGTAGGTTAAAATGGTGAGCTGTCCGATGTTTACTAAGCGCGCTCACCTTAAAACGTTGGGAAGGCCCTTCCTCCTGGAACGTATTTATGAGCACACTGTTCGCTCCTCAGTTCTTCTACAGGAATTTTCTCGTCCATTTTCGGTTCGATTTCGCTGTACTTGAGTCAAAACAAACTTTATAGCATTACAAAGTTTTCCCTTGTTTTAAAATTTTCAAACGTTACAAAAAAAGTGTTAAAAATAAACTATATTTCTCACATGCAAAATGCTCGCTCCACGGCGGCCATTTCGCGCGCAAGTGAAGGTTACCATTTTTCCCATGATGCTTTGGTAACATGCAAGTTGCCTATTGCCTATTGTGATATTATTCTCTTAACTGTGTTTATCCTAACCCACCCTGTCAACTTTCCCTGTGGGTGGAAACTGGAGCACCCGGAGAAAACCCACGACTTTAAGCAGAACGTTAACTGAATCTATTCACACGAGTCCATAGCGAGAAAGAAACCACGATCTCAGAGATAAAAGGCGGCGCTTACACTGACGACTGTGTTATCTATAACGGCTCGATTGACTTCCGGTTGGTGTACGTGTTATCAAAAAAATTCAATACTACTTCTATTTCTTACCAAATAATACATCTTAGAGCTTAAATACTGAATTACAACCAGACCTTGAAAGGAAGATAAAAATTAAAGTAGGAATATAGAAGACTTAGAGCACTTAAAAAAGTGAGAACGAAATCGACTTTGATTACAGGAGTACAAAATTTTCGCGCTGAAAAAGGGCCCTTAACATAACTGATTTCCACTATGGTAAACCCCGACATGCCATTATTATTGAACTGCTCAAAAAGTCGATTAAATCAAGAGAACTCGAAGTATTTAACTTGTGCATGAACAATATACTTGCACCCGACAGATGTGATAAAATTCACAATCAAATCAACACAATATGTGAGGTTTTCAAATTAGATGTTCATAGAAAATCTTCCCGAAACACTTGGCCAGTATAATAAACAATTCTTGCACATCCTTTGAAAAATTATTGAAAGCGATAAAGAAACATGTGCAAGCAGGGAAAATGCCAGGAATTTGCTTGGAAAAAGACAAGCATGAAGGCTCAGATCCAAAACGGAAGTAAGGACGAGGCGTACGACACCATTTTCACGTCCTGATTGACGTCCCGTTGCGTTTGCTAAAGCTGCATAATGTACAGACTGAGTTACTTTATTTATAGCATATACAGCCGAAGAACGTCATTCATTTGCAATTTCAAGCAAAGTCAGACTGTAGTATACTAGATACCGCTATGTCAAACTCGCTTATCTCGGATTCCCAGCAATCTCGAACCTAAACCCATCTGTGAATTTGAAAATACTTTTTTCAATCATTTATACTTGGTTATCTCGAATTCCGTTAACTCGATGTCTCGATCATCGCAATCTCGAACTAATTTTGTTTGTCTTGCCCGAATTTACCCGGTTATCTCTAGTTCAGATGTCTTTAAACTCAGTTCAGAGCATAATTTAGATTAGTTTAATTATGATACATACAGCATAATTGTTAAATAAGTAGGCCTATAGGTAATCATGCGATGGCGAGTACAATTAGGGATTAATAGTACGAATGATGTTTGGAAATTTTGCCAAAATTGGACGAGCCGCCGCGGCGAGTCCAATTTGGCAAATTTCCAAACATCACGAGTACTATTAATCCCTAACTGTACGAGCAACATCGCATGATTACTTGTTTATTATTAGCATGACAAAATTGGATACGTACTTCTCAATGTCAGCATCATATTCTCTCGCCAAAGCCCAGACCTGCCAGACTTTCAACCAAAATTTGGTGCTTTTGTTTGTATTTTCATTTAGTTCTTTTGTTAAAGCAAAGTTTGGTGCTTTTGTTCGTATTTTCATCTGGTTCCTCCACGGCAATTTCATTTCACGCTTGTGTTTAAAGTACGTTTCCGCCATTTTGTTTGTTTGGGAAAATCATTAATTGTACTGCAGTACAATTAATGAAATAATTGTACTCCTCTCAACCAATCAGCATCCAGTAATTTTGTCATGCTAATAAGAAACCGTATTAGCATAGTGTTTGAATGCATGCACTCATTAAATTTTAAAAAAAATAGGAGGACTAAAGGCCACTTGCAATTTAGCTGCGATCTCTAATGCGATTTTCGTCTTCTCGGCATGATGCAGTGAACGAGTGGATTATTTATTAATGATTTGAGTATGTGTACCTTCATCTGAATATTCATAATTCATCCACTCGTTCACATTGCAACAAAAGAAAAAATTACAATCGAAATCGCAGCAAAAATGTAAACCTGCCTTAAGGTAATTCCGCAGTTTTCCATTGCGCACTTTCACTGTGCACGTCTTATAACTTATAATTTCATCCATTATACGTACCGTTTAAAAAAAAAAAATTATGACAATTTTATGTTACTCTAAAACATCTTTGGTTACATTCGTGCAAAGAATTACGTTAAAATCAATGTTTTCAAAAAAGGCATGCAAAAGTGTAGCTAGGAGTCCCTGTGTCTGTAGTATATTTATTATGCCACAATTCCCTAAAAAGATCGGTGACCCCCGTCTTTTAACTGAGAATTTATTTCTTTAATGCATTTTACATTTCATATCCGAAATTAAAAGAAAAATCATTTCTGGATCTTGAAAAAAAATCCTTTATCAATGCATGTTCTCAAAGAAGATATGTAAAGAAATGTGGAAAGGACATTTGTGAATCAGAATTGTACACGTTAGTAGTTTCATTTTGCTCAAAACACAATATTTTTCAAACATAATTACAAGATAGGTTTACTAAAGCAAAATCCGCGCTAAAAGGTCAATAAATATCGGGCTGTTGTGATTTTGCTGTTACTCTTAATGAGCTGAGCGTCAAGATGGCGCCATATTGGAGTAAAGGTGTTATATTGTGACTGTCATATCTTCTTAACGAGTTCGGTGACCCCAACTTTTTTGTGTGATTTTACTTTAAGTATATCATAAACTCCATGCCTGGGAAGTTTCAGCACATTCTCATTTCGGGAACAATTACTGCGGAATTACCTTAAGAGAGAACTTAGAAACAACCTACTTTAATCTATAGTAATTACTTGAATCATGTTACTTTAATCTAGTAATTGGGCTGTTCTTTTGCAATGGCCACCCCTAATGTGATTTGTAGCAAGCCGCCATGATAAAGTTGGGAACAGGTACACAATCGTCACATAGATTTAATGAGAGGCTTATTTTATGAATTTTGGTGTCCATGCTGATTATGTGAACGTAGACATAATCCATCATCATTCAAAAAGTAGATACATCAATGTAGTTTTGCGGCAGAAATATCTTTAACAGAAAACATTACTTTATAGAAAGAAAATGTCAGATCTGGTAAAACTGAGAAACTTTGGAAAGCAAAAACCAGAGGTAAATATGGAAGATAAGATATGCGAAATATCTGCTCTGTTTCAACATTATGACAAACATGAATTGAAGAGGGTTATAATACATGTGAACAACTTTTTAACATAAAAAACTGACCAAGGTCACATGCATGTATTTTAACTGGGAAAATATAGGGTCTACCTTAACTGTCCCTACTGTTGGTTTCCGACTGCTCACGAAACAATCAAAATGCTGCATTTTATGGATGAACTGCACAGGCATATAAGAAAATGAATTCAGGGCATCATGGCAAGCACAAAGTCGTCGGTATGAAGTCAAATTTGAAGGGCAGACAGGGGGGCAAATACGAAGAAGCTCCAAACTCCCAGCTAGTTTTCTACAGATCTGTCTAAAATTATTGATATTATATAGTCCAAGGTATGCACATTTCGTTCCATATTTAAATATGAATTCTTTGGATTTAAATTTTAAAACTCCATAAATATGACGATGGTGTGGATTAGGCATGGTTTAAATAGGTTGAAATATGACAACGCATAGGCTAGAGCCGGCAAAATTTTAAAGCGTAAGCGAACGTGGAAAAAACCGCACGCCAAATGGTAGCTTGCAAACAGCAGCATAAAATGACCTTTCTGCGAGCCTGTTAAACCTAGGGCGTGTTCATATGAGCCCTGAAAGATTCTCATTTTACAAAATTAATATGGATAAAGATAATGCAGATAAACCCTCCAGCCTTGCTTGTTAAGTAAGATATCACCTTGTGGCTAGGTCGGATCCCAGCAATGTGGGACCAAATTTCCAGTGTACGGTTCATCCCACCAGGATAGAATATTTTGCCGATTTTGACCTGTAAGAGTAAAACAAAACAAGAAAAAATAGACTTAACAGGCGATACTAAATTCGAAAGGTACGTACAAATTAAATTTGTTCAATTACAACAAAAAATATTTCGAAGGTGCTATGTTTTCGTAGTTTCGTGCCACCGGGGCGGGATATTAATCATCTGAACGCAAGAATACTTTCCAATTAGGTGAGCTTTCTGGTAAACCGGGCTCATACGAACAAGCCTTTATATCATTATTTTCTGATTGTTGATACAGGCGATCGAAAAGAGCAGGTAGTTGGATCAGATGATTTGGTCAGGCGACTTCAACATGAATTAAAGAAAGTGAAGGAAGATTACTGTGTTCTGAAGAATACGAATGATGAAATGGCTACCGACATACAACGCCTACAAAAGAAAAATGATGACATGAACTATGAAATTAAGGTACTGGGGCTTGATAACGATGACAAGGGCAATAAGACTGAGCAATTTCGACAAGCAAGAAGTCAGATAGACCGGCAGGAAAACACCCAAACCAATGACGAGAACCGCCAACATAAAAAAGACAACAGTAATACGAGCAATGAAACTCTGCAACTTCGACAAGTCAAAAGTCAGATGGAGAACCAAATTCAGCAACTTAAACGACAGAAAAGTCAGAAAGAAAAGGAAAATCAGCTACTTCGAGAGGAATTCGAAACCAACAAAAGGAATGACGAAATTAGGCAACATCAAGAAGACAACAGTAACCTGAGCAATCAATTTCAGCAAGAAAAGGACGACATGAACAACGAAATTCAGCAACTTCGACAAGCGAAAAGTCAGATGGAGAGCCAAATTCAGGAACTTCAACGAGAGAAAAGAGAAATTGAAAAGGAAAGTCAGCAACTTCGAGAGGAAACCAACAAAAGGAATGACGAGATTCGGCAACAACAAGAAGACAACAGTAACCTAAGTCATCAACTTCAGCAACTTCAGCGAGAAAAGGATGACATGACCAATGCATTGCAAGAACTTCAACAAGAAAATAACATGAACAACGAAGTTCAGCAACTTCGACAAGCGAAAATTCAGATGGAGGACCAAATTCAGCAACTTGAACGAGAGAAAAGTCAGAAAGAAAAGGAAATTCAGCTACTTCGAGAGGAAACCAACAAAAGGAATGACGAAATTAGGCAACATCAAGAAGACAACAGTAACCTGAGCAATCAACTTCAGCAAGAAAAGGACGACATGAACAACGAAATTCAGCAACTTCGAGAAGCGAAAAGTCAGATGGAGAGCCAAATTCAGCGACTTCAACGAGAGAAAAGTGAAATTGAAAAGGAAAGTCAGCAACTTCGAGAGGAAACCAACAAAAGGAATGACGAGATTCGGCAACATCAAGAAGACAACAGTAGCCTAAGTGATCAACTTCAGGAACTTCAGCGAGAAAAGGATGACATAAACAATGCATTGCAAGACCTTCAACAAGAAAATAACATGAACAACGAAATTCAGCAACTTCGACAAGCGAAAATTCAGATGGAGAACCAAATTCAGCAACTTCAACGAGAGAAAAGTGAAATTGAAAAGGAAAGTCAGCAACTTCGAGAGGAAACCAACAAAAGGAATGACGAGATTCGACAACATCAAGAAGACAACAGTAACCTAAGTAATCAACTTCAGCAACTTCAGCGAGAAAAGGATGACATGAGCAATGCATTGCAAGAACTTCAACAAGAAAATAACATGAAAACTGAAATTCAGCAACTTCGAGAAGACAACAAGTCTAGTTTCATTACAGAAAGGGGATCAGTAAAAGTTTCCAAAGAAGTACTAGGAAAAGGTGCTTATGGTACTGTTTACAGTGGCGATTTTTATGGAACTAAAGTAGCAGTTAAGGAATTTCATGAAATCATTTTATCTCCACATAATGAAGAAATCCTTGGGCGTGAAATAGAAATCGCATCGCAATGTCGACATCCCTATTTACTACAGTTTATCTGTGCCATAGAGAATGATCAACACCATCTTTTAATTGTAACTGAACTGATGGATATGGCCTTGCGTACATTACTAGAACAACGTGCCAACGCGAAATCGCATTTGGTCCATCAGGAAGTCATATTAATTTCCTTTGATGTGGCACGTGGCCTCAACTACCTTCATTCAAAAACACCAAACCCAATTATCCATCGTGATGTTAGCAGTGCCAACGTCTTGTTAAGGATTGAAAATGGCGCGGTAAGAAGAGCGAAAATATCAGATTATGGTTCAGCTAATTTAATGCAAAGGTGCAATACACCAAATCGTGGAGCAGCGCTTTACGCCGCACCTGAAGCCAGCGGAAGTCAACAAGGCCCAAAGGTATAATTATATTTAAAATTATTTGCATGATTAAGTACGGCAAAAGACCTACTTTTTAAATCAAAATAGAATCGACTGTTAAGAATTTGTCTTCTTTACAGCAGTCTTACTTATACCTACAGCCTTACAACAATTACAACAATTGTGATATCATAGCCGTACGGAAAGAAAAAAAGTCTACCGGGGGGGGGGTAGAGCGGGGGATTTACCCGACTTTACCCCCATTGTGCTCGGCTTACTGAAAAAAAATATTTCCGTGTAAACTTTCCAAAATTGTTGTCGACGGAACGTCGGGAAATCGACGAAAAATTGCATAAACCACGGTAGTAAGGGGAATATGTCTGACAATCTCTAATCAATTAATTGGCCAGTTTGAATTCATTTTACTTGTTTAATCTTGTTTATATTTACGCAGATAGATGTGTTTAGCTATGGTTTGTTAGTATGCGAGATGTCTGTTGGTGAGCTACCTCATCCCGAACCAGTCCAAAGAAAGGATCAAATTATTAGGATTCCGAATGCTGGGATAAAACGATTGGTGCAAAGTTGTACAGACGGAGACCCACAAAGAAGGCCAACAATGCAAGTCGCAATTGGATTTTGGCAAAACATGAAATAAGACCGAACACTGCTACCGCTATAATGCAATATAACAACTTAAATCTGCTTTGCCAGTGACATATTATGGCCTTATGTAACATTTTAGGAATTCTATCATATATTGAACATTTGAGTCTTTTCATTAGCTTGGGCATGGCAATCGTGGTCGAGCGCTTCAACACACAAAACAGCAAAAATCACAAACTTGGCCTTCCAAGCTCATGTTACAATATAACTCCTGACACTCATGATTTCAATGTTGTTTATTTTCAGTGCTTTGTGCCTAACGCCTAACGCCTAACGGATACCTAAGACTGTTTCGGAGAAACGGTGGGTTAACCATTCGCCGGTGAAGTGATATGTTAACATACAGACAAATAGCTGACTGAAAAAAACTTGGCAATCTCTAATTTTGTTTTTCAAATGGCACTCTTATAGCAAGGAGGGCCTATACATGTATATATCTTGTCGTTTTTTAAACTTCAGACACGTATTGCTAATTATATTCTATAATGGCCCTAATGTTTACCAAGATAAATATAATAGCAGTTACTTCCATGACTAGCCTGCGAACAGGCTCTCAAGCTGAATTGAGAGCCTGCATCGATGATTAATGAATTTGAATATCTGCCCCGTAACGTTCGTTTTTCCAAATATGGAATGTCTATTCTTATATGGTGTTGTTTACAACTTTCGTGCAAACTAAATTTAGACCGTGCAAACTAAATTTAGAGCGTACAGTTTATACTATTTTTCGAAATATAAGATATTCAAGCAAAAGTTCAAATGTTTTAAATACTGTTTTCTCAAAACAGAACATTTCGTGCTTTGAGATAAGACGGCCAAGACCAATATGATCAGTTAATGTGTTTTTTATGCATAGTGCTTAGAGCAGTTGACATATATAGAGCTCAGCGGAAACATATAAATTATAGCATCTGACCAATGAGAATTTCGCGTCACGATTTGAGACGCAGATATTCAAATTCATTAGTCATCGATGCAGGCTCTCAATTCAGCTTGAGAGCCTGTTCGCAGGCTATTCCATGACTAATTTAGCTATGTTGTATATATTAAATGTCGCTCGCCAAAGTTTTTAACCCCTCAAAAGGTGTTATTTTAACCCCAATATTGGAGTAAAAAGGTTTTAAACTCTTAGAATCTGCTTGCCAAAGTTTTTAACCCCTCAAAAGGTGTTATGTTAATTACCCCAATATTGGAGTAAAAAGTTTTACACTCTTAGAATTTGCTCGCCAAAGTTTTTAACCCCTCAAAGGGTATTTTTAACCCCAATTTTGGAGATAAAAGAGCTCAAAGTTTTTAACACCCCAAAAATCCTTACAAGGGAATTAAATTAGAATAACACATTCATTTAATTTGAAAATAACAGTGTAGGAGTGGCCCAAGGTTAGATTCTTGTGACATGACGCATTAAATGTTTTGGAAGTTGATGGCGAGTTATTTACTTTGGATATTAGTTTCCTATTACTAAAAAGATATAGCTGAAACCATGATAGTGCTAATCCACGTATCCTATATCATCTCACTTTGGATAATAGAGTCTTAGTTACCGTATCAAAAGCTTTTTGAGGTCCAGGAATAAGACATCATTTTATCCAACTCAGCGTTCATGTTTGCTAATCAGCTGTTATACAGTAGTTACATGTAGTAATGAGGTTTCAGTTTTGGTACTCCTGGCGGCTTACGAAACGGAAAATTGCTTCGCCTACCTTAGCAATTATTTTCGATATAATCATATATTTCCAATATTTATGGGATTTTCAAGAAAATCAACAAGCAGAGTCACCAAGTGATTATTGTTAAAGCCCACATTCTGCGGACTAGTTACAACTTTCTTAGTTACCGTGGCCGAGTAACTTCCTTTTGCCTTGCCTTCTAAGTGTAGTTTTTTACAACTGAGAAAGTTCCCATTTGGTGTCATTACTTTATAGAGGTTAAGAAAATTTTTCTGAATAGGCCTTACCGATTATTCCGCTTAGATATGTTACCAAATGGTCTCGTTTCCATGTTTCCAACTAATTTTAGTATGTCAGCACCAGATAAAGTTTATATTCCCATGTATGTTCTCCTGGACGAATTTGTTTCTTGCTGTTCTTAGGCTCAATAATATAGTAACTTTCAACCCTATACTAAGCATAAAACATGAGTAAGTATTTGACATGGAAACGTGGCCATTGGGTAAAAGAGAATAATGGGTCAGGTCTATAAGTTGAAGAGAAAGAAGCCTTGGAGTCACCTTGTACAGCAAACTTCTTTGGAACACTCACATAAAATTATATCGAATTAACGCCAACGAAATACTCGGTGCGCTCAAGAGCTATATAGAACATGCCCATGATTAAGTCAGCATATACACTCTACATTTCATTGGTTAAGTCGTGTAGAAGTGTCAGGCAACACAAATTTGGTCACCAGTGCTAAGTACTGAAGAATTAAGATAATTAATGGGAGAGCTATGTTGTGGATTTTAAAACTAGGATCGGTGAAATGCCGTATTAAACAGTGAACAGCAATTGAGTATTAAAATTCGAAATGTCGCTTCTCATTTTTTCATGTGGTTTTACGATTACCGCGATCTGAATATTAACAGTTACAATTCTTTCGTTGAACATGACAGTCACATGCAAGTCAAACTCGTGAACGTCTTTGCCAGAGAACTCCCAGGGGGCTCAACTACTGTCACTAACAAGTGTAAAATAATCAAAATAATAAACTTGCCTTAAAAGATTTGCAAAAACATCGATAAATATATTATGAATGGAGAAAGAGCAAAAAATAATCTATATGAATTACTATAGAATCATCAACAGGTAGGTAATGCGTATGAGATAATAGCATAATTAATAATAGATAAGTTGATAGGAAGGGTTGAAACACCGGTCACATGATCATTCGATGTTTAGCAAGAGTAGCCTATCCACTCGGAGATTTCCGATCGCAGTTCGGAAATGCATCTCAAAGCTATTTTTGATTATAGAGCAATTTCTGATTATTTACATTTTTAAAAACTTATTATTCAAACTGTAGTCTATACCTAATCTGATCATGAATGCAAATCCCAGCATCTCACGAGTGCCAAACTTGGCATCCGACTGAATAGGCTACTCTTGGTATACATATCGGAAACCGGGATAACTTGCTGTTAAAAATTATTTAGGGAAAGGGTTATCCACGTTATTTTTTTACTACTTATCTTTGTTCGTCTAAGAGAATGCTAAATACGTTGTAAAATAATCAAATCATGTCGAAACGGTTAATTAAATTAGATCAAGCATTTTAAAAAATCACGTGACCGGTGTTTCAACCCTTCTATTACTTTATCCATTATTAAGTTATTACCTCATACGCGCCCGCATTACTTACCTGTTGAGGATTCTATAGTAGCTACTTCATATAGATTATTTTTTGCTCTTCCTGCATTCATATCGACATTCTTGCGAAGAATTTATGCAAATTTTCAAAAAAAAAGTTTAATATTTTGATTATTTTACACTTGTTATTGACAGTAGTTGAGCACATTGTGAAACGCAGCCTGGTCTGTCTGTCTGTCTGTCTGTCTGTCTGTCTGTCTGTCTGTCTGTCTGTCTGTCTGTCTGTCTGTCTGTCTGTCTGTCTGTCTGTCTGTCTGTCTGTCTGCCTGTCTGTCTGTCTGTCTGCCTGTCTGTCTGTCTGTCTGTCTGTTATTGTTCATACTGTGTATTTCGAATGTCTGGGAACCCCGTTATTGGAGAACTAATCTCTGTGTGGTATTTCCAGCCATGTAATCTATTGTGTAACTAATTTTGTGTAATAGTTTGTATTATAAATGGCAAAATCTGTAAAATAAAAATAAGTAAAATAAGAGTCAGTCATACGGTGCTTAAATAGTACATATTTCTGATCCGATTGCACATGAAGGATGGTACAAAAGACCCCAAGGACGTCCTATTAATAATTGCTACAATTTCTACAAGAATTTCCACAAGAGATCACACAACTAATTTTGACAATGAAAGTGTTTTTCTCTATTTCACAGAGTCGTAAACTCTGGCACGCCCTTACTTCTTCACTCAAATGAAATTTGATTAAAAAATCACAACATGGAAAACTTTAAACGTTTGTTTCTCTAGCTAACATGTTTAAGCCTGCACCTAACCGCAATACAGGCTGTTTTTAAATTTATTTTATTCACGAAATATAAACTTTAAGAAAATATACACAAAATTTTAAATGTCGAACTGTCTATGCCGGTGTAGGTAGCAACTTAAGGCAACTGTGGGTTGAGAGAGATTCCTGGAAATATATAACCAGACCGTTGACGTTTCAAGTAAACGCAATTAAAGTACTAAATTTTCGACGAACGAAGTTCTGCTTATTTCAGGTAGTTGTATCTCTCTCAAAATTTTAAATGTGCCTTGTATCTCTCTCAAAATTTTAAATGTGCCTGTGCCTCTCAAAATTTTAAATGTGTCTCTTGGCTCGTTCTCTGTTCTCTGGAACAGGCCCATGTGGCTATAGTTAGTGTTTCTAGTCAAATCCTGGCTATAGTCAGTGTTTTTAGTCAAAATTTTGACAACTTGAACTTTTAGTTAAAATTTAACCACTATTGGATTTATATTTATAAACTCTGATAAATGTACGCTTACGTGGGTGCCTATTTTTGTCACCTCTTCAATTTAATTTAATTAAGTACTATGACTATGTACAACATGAGCGGCCGTGTTGTAAACTCCTTCATGATCACGATTTCTTTGTGTGTTTCTTCATGAAATATTAATGAGTTTCACAACTACATATATAGAATTTACACTACAAATGCAAATGAAACTTTACTTCGTTTCAATTAGACAAACTCTGGTTCTGCATGCCCTGACACGCACGTAATATATCATCGTAATATATTTAAAATTGTGCAATAAAGAAACACGTATCGTATTACCACAGAGCTTCATATCCGCGACAGACTTGTCGTAAACGAAAGAAACTTTGCTCTTTCCAACACTTGTGGCATTATAGCAACAACTATAGTTTACATCGACGGGAAAATGAAGATAAATTTGCTTATTTCCCTTCTCTTTAATCTGGTATACGTAGCAAGAGGAAATAGCAAGCCAAACATTCTGTTCATATTTGCTGATGACTATGGCTTCAACGATGTTGGCTACCATGGTTCCGAAATAAAAACACCAGTCTTGGACAAACTAGCAAATGAAGGTGTTATCCTCGAGAAATATTATGTCCAACCAATATGTACTCCAACAAGATCAACAATGCTTACTGGTAGATATCAAATTCATACAGGTTTGCAACATGGCGTTTTACGCCCTGCGCAACCAAATTCCTTACCTCTTGACGAAACTACAATCGCAGACAAATTAAGTGAAAGCGGTTACAAAACTCACATGGTTGGGAAATGGCACAATGGATATTATAAAAAGGAGTGCATGCCAACCTACAGAGGATTTGACTCATATTTTGGATATCTCAACGGAGCTGAGGATTATTACACACATGTGCTAAGCGGTGGTTTCCCAGATTTATTACCGTTTAGTTTATGGAGCGGTTATGATCTGCGCAGAAATGAAACTGTAAGTACAAAAGAAAAAGGAGAGTATTCGACATTTTTATTTGCAAAAGAAGCTCAGAACGTTATCACGAATCATGATTCCAGTTCCCCATTGTTTTTATATCTAGCATTTCAAGCAGTACATGCGCCCTTGCAAGTGCCCCAACAATATATCCAGCAGTATGAGGGAGTGATAAAAGATAAGAATAGACGTACTTATGCCGGCATGGTGTCTGCTATGGACGAAGCCATAGGAAATGTGACTAAAACACTGCAAGAAAAAGGACTTTGGAATAACACTGTATTGATATTTAGCACTGATAATGGTGGTCAGGTGTATGACGGGGGAAATAACTGGCCATTGAGGGGTTGGAAAGGATCATTGTGGGAAGGTGGTGTACGTGGTGTAGGATTTGTCAACAGTCCTTTGTTAACAAAGCCAAGAAGAGTTTCGCATGAAATGATCCATGTTTCTGATTGGTTCCCGACTCTGGTGAAGTTAGCTGGTGGTGATTTGAATGGTACAAAACCTTTAGATGGTTTTAATGTTTGGGAAACAATAAACACAGATGAACCATCTCCTAGAACTGAACTATTGCACAACATCGATCCAGTAAAGACACCATGGTATTGTAAACGTGCGAGTCATGGTTATCAATGGTGTCCACAGGCTGCATTACGTGTTGGGGACTGGAAACTACTCACAGGATGTCCAGGAGATTCACGTTGGATTCCACCTCCGAACTCAAGTCTCAACTTGAATGAAGAAAATTATTTGAACAATGACAACAAAAAGTTGTTTTTGTTTAATATTGCCCAGGATCCTGAAGAACGACATGAACTATCTTCTCAATATCCAGAGAAAGTGAAGGAATTATTGTTGAGACTTGAAGAATACAATAGTACTGCAGTGCCTGTACGATACCCTAACCCTGATCTTGCTGCTAATCCCGCACTGCATCATGGGGTATGGTCACCATGGGTCATCTCAGAACATGCAGACATTACTGCATAGTAATTATACATGTATGGTTGTAATGTACTGCATAGTAATTATACATGCATGGTTGCAATGTACTGCATAGTAATTATACATGCATGGTTGCAATGTACTGCATAGTAATTATACATGTATGGTTGCAATAAATAAAGTGGACTTAAGATCGATTTGAACTTGCTATTTTAGGCGGGCATTTAGAGACCGATTAAAGTGTTTTATGTGATTTAAATAATATTACAATTATGAAAACTATTATGTACTATTTAAAACACGAGTAGGAGCGTTTTATCAGATGTAAAACGCGAGGCACAGCCGAGCGTTTTATGTCTGATAAAACACGACAACGAGTGTTTTGAATAGTTATATCTCAACTACTCAAGCAACCATTTAATTGTCATTAAAATACTCATTAATAATTCATAAACCTTGTGGTAAATCATGTCAACCATAATATGTCACGTGGAGTGACTTTATACCTGATAAAGCATGTGGCATTATATAAGGTCCTATTACCTATCCCAAAATTAAAATATATCTGGAATAAATCACGTAAAAATAAAATTAAACAAATGTGAGAAAGTAACGAAATATGAAATGAAAATAACGCCATAAAATGAAAATAACGAAGTAAAACGTTACTTCTTAAAACGACTTCGTTCCAAGTAAAAGTACTCCAGAAAAAGTTTACTTTGTTACATGCTCACTTCTCAAAAATAGTACTCAAGTACAGTAACGAAGTACATTTACTTCGTTACTTGACATCACTGATTTTAAGCTACGTCGTATAAATATGCATGCTATATCATTATAGAAACAGCGGTCAGAATGAATAAAATAGTAATAGAAATTTATTTAATATGTATTATACAGGATGTGGTTGCTCAGTTCACCCGAGACTCATGATAAACGTACTCGACAACGAAGGCCTAAGGGTTAGTTTTTGACGAGAAAGCAAAACGGGAGGACCCAGAGAAAACCCCTCGAAGGGGAAGGGAGCAACCTAAACTATACGTACAAACGTTTTCAAGCACACCCTCAACCTATAGTAGCAGGGGTAAGGGGTATGACCCATGCTCTTCCACTAAAATAGAAAAAAATAAAAAAATATTATAATTTAGTAATCTGCACAGCAATAATAAAATCTTTGAATATATGTATATATTTGTTGAAATGAAATGCGCACAAACATTACCACTACATAGAAGGTTATACTTTCCTGCTCAGTCATAGACTTACGGTTGAGAACAAAAAACCTGGCCATCACCCGCAGAGGCGAATGGGAAACTGTCTATGGAAAATTTAACTTTTCATTATTGCATAATACTGTATAATTATCGTATAACAAGACAGTCTCGCGGGATTCACGCGTGACGTGAAACACATGTTTTTGAGAGAGTATAGTGTTTGGATTTGAGAATAGAACTTGAAATATTTAGTACAACTTTTATTTTATGTAAATTTGTTTGTTGTTATTATTATTATATTATTCTACTTCTTAACGAGTGAAGATCTTATTTTACAACACGGTCCTTTAGAACAGGACATCGTGCTTACGTGAGCAAAATTACTGCCAACAAAATTTTCGATCATTTTAGCGGATCTACGAGTGAAAGAGAAAAGCTAGAAAGTTTCAAGGTTACTTTCAAATATAAGAAAGACGTTCTTAAGAGTATTGACGAAACTATATTGGAGTTAACGAAATATGAAGACATCAATAAAGAGATAATCGAAGCTATACAAGGGCGGATCAAAAAGTTCTGGCACTTGTCCGATATTGCTTATAATTCACACACAACGTTCCAAATTACAGTAACATTCGCTCAAAGTAGCTTCCTTCGACTTCTATACATTGTTACATCCTCATTCTGGATTTCTGAAAGCATTGGCGATATTCTTAAACAAGTATGTCCTTCATCGCTACATGGACGGCTTTATCACTGTCTTGGATCCTTGAAAACGACCTTCCAGCAATGATAGATTTTATTTTTGGAAAGAGCCAGAAATCGCAATTAAGGAGCTAGGTTTGGTGAGTATGGTGGATGTTCTATCAAATGGATATCATTCTCATCAAGATAAGTCTGTCTAAGGCGTGTTTTGTGAGGAGATGCATTGACATGATGCAATTGATTTTGCGCCAGACTGTCGTCCTTTGTTCCCTCTGCTCTGCTTATCCCAAGTTCCAAGGCGAGAAATCTCAGTGTTATAGCTGGGTCTTCTGCAATTAACCCATCTGCTCTTTTCACTCAACGGTCGATCACACCGTCGTTGGTCTCCCAGCAAGTAATTCATCTTCAACACTCTCTCTGCTATCAGTAAAATACTGAATCCGTCTTGCAATCGTTCGAAAAGAAAGTGCATGGTCGCACTAAACCTTCACTAAAGGAATACCGAATGGTTCTCCGTGCAGGATTGCGTGATTCATGCACAAGGGATGTCGCGAGACTTTCAAAAAGCATAAAACTACTCGAGCCGTAGGCGAGTGTATTTTTACGCTTTCTAAAAGTCGAGCAACATCCCAAGTGCATAGATCACGCTATCCTGCTTGGAAAACCATTTGGTAATTGTTTTATAAAATAACTACAGTGAAACAATGACATTTTGAGAATCCCGCGATAATCCCGCGAAGGGATTTTAATTCCTTGTGCAGGATAGCCTGATCCTGCACGGCTATTGACCAATCAAATTGCATGTTTCACTGTAGTTATTATATAAAAGCTTTTCATAGATAGGTCTGGCTCGAATACCAAGTTCATATCGAGTGTAAATTAGAATCTTATGTGCTCCTTTGTGGGCTCCATATCACAGCCAAATAAGAATCTGAATAAAGCGATCTGCCAAATTCTATCATAGAAGCATTATATAAGCACCAAATTTGCACAACAACTGTGATAAAAATACTGGCCACACATTAACATAACAAAATAGAACCATAAATGCTTTGGGACTTCATTGCAGCCTCTGGTGACAGAACGTTTTGATCCGCCCTTGTAGTGATATCGGTGAGACGATTAATCGAGTATGTGTTAAGACAAATAATGCTTCGAACCCTGTAAACAAAAAAATGCAGCAAGTCTGTCTTCTGGTAATACTGAGTCTGCGACAATCAGCAGCTCTGCATCAAACCATAGACAATCCAATGTCTTCTGGATTGTCTATGATCAAACCCTACAAGGCGAAATTACCAAAGCTGACATTGAGGAAATTCTCTGGAGACCTCAAATCCTGGCAGTCTTTTTTGCGTGGGACAGTTTCGAAGCTGCAGTACACAATAATAGCGGTTCAATTACCTGAAGAGTTTGGTTGAAGGCAATGCCGCCTCAGCTATTGACGGTTTCGCACTAACCGCCGATAACTATGAATCAGCAGTTAAATTGCTCAAAGACAGATTCGCTGACCCCCAGATTATTATATCTAGTCATAGGGAGGAGTTATTGAACTCACCAGCTGTTAGTGACATACATAAGGTATTTTGAAATTAGAGGAGGGCGCTATAGAGGGAAACTGCCCTATTCATCATCAACATTGTTCTCGGGGAAAGGTCCGTCATCTGTGCCATGCTGTAGTTATTGTTCGAAGCAGCATAAGGAAAAAAGGAAATGTTTCTTAGGCCTAAGATCTGGTCATATTATAAAACATCGTGACTCTCAGTATAAATGCCAAAAGTGTGGTGGGCATCATCATGTATCAATCTGTGAGAAGAATGCCAATAAACCCCCTGCCCCGGGAGGCAAGGTAGAGCAACAATGGGACCCTGTGAGACAACAGCAAGTTAATCAACCCAGTACTAAATCAGAAACAGCACAGAAAACACAAACTGAAACATCTAGTCTGTATGTTGAGAGTAATACAGCAGTTCTTCTACAGACAGCTCAGAGCTTAGTGGGCAAAGTTGAAAGTGAATTGGTTGGAAAGCATAATGCTCGAATTGTGTTTGACTCATGTAGTCAGCGATCCTACATATCAAATAGATTGAGAAACATCCTGAATTTAGAGACGATTGAGTCAGAAAACCTACTTATTACGAAATTTGGTGATGAAGCTCCTGAAGTCCTCACAAGCAAGAGTTAAGTTCGCAGTAACAGATACCAAAGGAAATGATATTATGATGGGTGCATACAGTGTGCCTACAATCTGTAGTCCAATTAGCAATCAGTCAATTAAAGTCGCACTTGAAGAATACCCACATCTTCGTGGTTTGAATCTCGCAGATACCCCAGGTATGTCTGACGGTAGTGATGTAGAAGTGGACATATTAATAAGTGCAGATTACTACTGGAAATTCATAACTGGCACAACAAAATGTGGTGCAAAACCGGATACTGTCCGGACCTGTGATCCAAGAGAATCAGAGAAACTCTAGCTGTACGACCACCAACGTACTCCGTATTGATGCAGAACCAGTTATAACTACCCAATTGCCAGTCTGCATAGAAAAATTATAGGATCTTGAAAAACTAAGAATTCGAGACAACGAGCTTACCACTGAGTCTAAGTTTATGGAAGAAATAAACTTCAATGGAAAACAGTTTGAAATTAAACTGCCCTTTCGAGAAGAACACCTAGTACTACTACCTGACAATCATACTGGCTCTGTGAAACGGTTCAGTTCCTTGATACCCCGACTGAAGGCTAACCCCAAACTTCTACAGAAGTAAGAGTCTGGTATTGTGGAATCTGCTTCCTGGAACAACAAGTGTCTACATACTAGACCATCCTTCAACACCCTGATTTTTGATATTCTGGTTCGATTCCGCGTATAAAAGGAGCGATGCGTTCCTGAATATTGATCCAACCTTTGTTTCCAAGGTGATAAAATCCCTCTACGTGGATGATCTTGCATCTGGTTCAAATAATCCAGAATCGGCCTTAGAATTGGAGAAGAAGATTAAAACCCGATTGTCCGAAGGCAGTTTCAATATGCGCAAATGATTGAGTAACAGCAAAGAATTAATGACGGAGTTTCAAAATGATCCACAATTTTCAGAAAGTCCTCAACAACTGTCTATTTACCGAGTTCAGTAACGGAGAAAGATCAAGGATATTCAAAGTCAATCTCAGCAACTCGACAACCACCCTCGTTGTCTTAGGTCAAGTATGGAATCCCCAAGCGGTCACGTTAATAGACAATTCCCATTATAGACTAATTTTAAAACTACTGAGGCAAGGAGATACTAAAATGAGTAAAATTGCAAAGTGTGGTTGAGAAATGTTGTAAAATGCGGAAAATATAGCCTTGCAAAGTTCGCAAATTTTGCATACTTTTGTATTGCGTGCGGAAATTGCTACCATTTTCGGTCCAAATGTGGTCCAAGGCTGCAACTAGCCTTGTTGGCAAGAAGTATTGCCATAGCAGCTGCGCAGCAACAATGAGAGCAACAATCAGTAATATTAGCAGCAAAAAGAGACAGCCATGACAATTCTTCCAAGGCATACCTCCGGCACCAGTCACACTGATAAGTCAGTCGAAACGAAATACAATGTATAGTGGTCTATACATCCTATTTCATGTGAGATTAAAAATTATATAAAATAAAATGACATACTACCAGATAAAATCCTCTACAGTAGACTAAACATGGTTGGGAGGGTGGGGAAAAGGTATCGAAGCGCTAAACTTGCTGCACTAGGCAAAGCATACAATGGCAGAATGAATACCCAGACCCTTTGATCGATATGACGTCACGGACTCCCCTCAGCGGATGTAGCCTGCATAATACATCCACCGTTAACCTTGCTTAAGAATTTAACCACATTTTAATTTGCACAAAACCACATAAGGAAATCGTATATGGATTGATTGTCGACCTTCCCGGTTATTTTTGTTGGATTGCTGGGCCATGCAATAGTTGTATTTTTCGCAACTGCTCCTTAATAAATGTAGAGACTTTACACTCGAAATTTCCACCAACAAAATCCTTCAACAATTAGTTGAATCGAGTGAGATGCCCGCAAATCCTGATATTTACCCATACACCTTACCATGGTATCACCTTAGAAAATATACATGAACTTGTGGTTAGAGCTCGACACCTGAACTTTGTAGCTCAGTTGGTCAGAGCGCTGAACAGAAATCGCAGGCACAAGTTCGATTCCTGCCAGAGGGTCTATAGTTGCATTTTTCATAACTAACTGCTTCTGGTTAGGACTTAATAAATGTATAAAATTTACACCTAACATTTCAATCTACAAAATCCTTCAATATCTATTTAATTGTGTTTGTGGAAAATGCTATGATTATTTTTGTCGGAAATTTCATGTTATAAAAGTTTTGTATCAAGATTAATCTTAAAAATTAAAAGCAAAATTCAGTGTGTTTGTGGGCATTTAGGAAGCGTTTAGATTAGTCCAATTAAACGTTTTTGACACAGTGGCGACCCACCGCCCAACATTGTGAGTATTCAAAAGCGATTTTAACATCTTTCATCTTTAGTAGGTGTAATATGTCAAGTAATAGTAGGTGTAAATTACTAATATGTCATACCTAGGAATGCATGTGATATAATTATGATCTATATCAATAAACATATCGTATTACCCAGGGCTCAAATCATGCGTAAATCACTATTTTAGTCTCAGTTTTCTTCGAAAAAAACAACATTAAAGAAATACGTAGACATGTTTCTAGCTTGTCAAAAATCCAAAGTAACAATAAAATTAAAGCTTTATTCCAGTAATTTGAAAAATGCCGTGGAAACTGCGGTAATTGCCAAAAGACAGCTGTTACGTTCTAGGGCAATTTTTAACGCCATTGCCGTCGATTGATTTCAGGGAAATTCGAGGCCTGGACTATTACCATAGCACTCTGTTTGACCTGTTGGGTCCCTAAAAGCCGAAATTTTGTTCACTCTGTACAAATTGCGGTAAACCTCGATCAAAAACTCAAATCCTTTTGCTGTCTCCTATTACTCATGGATGAGTTAAGGTTTTTGTCGAGGGTCCAATGTCGAGGGTGAGGGTAAAAAGTCGAGGGTCATATAAAAAAGTCGAGGGTCATAAAAAAAGTTGAGGGTCATAAAAAAAGTCGAGGGTGGAAATTTGCGGCCAAAATAACTTGTTTAATGTTGTGACATGGAATAATCATATATGTGTAGGCAGAACTAGCTAGATTAACTTTTAAAAGATACCTTAGATAGAAACTTTATTTATACACGCTGACCCCGTCAACCGAAGCTGATTTCCACGGGGGGCATGAAAAATGTTACATGGAGATATTAAAAGAGTTAAGTTTAAAAAGGTAGAATATTAAATTATTTACATGATACGGTAGAATATTAAATGATAAAAGGTAGAATATTATTACAAATGATAAGAGGTAGAATATTATAAAAGGTAGAATATAAAATTATTTACATAATATTTTCTAAGCGATTATTTTCTAGGCCCCTTCACGCTCACAAGTTAACACGTTTATGTCTAATATGAGAACGGTCTCTTTGCTTTCTTATCAAATTAACGTTGTTACGTAGATTATCGGGCAGCTGTTTAAGGCAAAATATATTACCAATAGCAAGTTAAGATAAAAAAAAACACCTTGTGTGTTTTCTGCTAGATCTGAGCGCGGTTAGCGCAGTGCAGACATGCCACTGTTTCAAGAAACTGTTACTCGTCTCACGGCCAACATTGGCCAACCTCGCAAGCAAGTGCCTGATGCGAGTTTGAACATTGCCATTGGCCTGTTTATGAAATTATACTACGTTTAGAAACTCTTTTAAGTTAATATTTATAATAAATGCTCTTTGACTTTGCTTTTAATGAAAACAACTCCGCCTTTTTATCTACAAATGCCTTAATCTAAAGTGGCCTGTACTCATTACACGCTAGAAGACATGCTGCGTGCGTGAAACTTTTTAACCAGATCCTAGACGACCCAAACCATAAACTTAATGAGTTAGTTTCTAGATCAAATTCTCCCTTAATTCATGATTTACATAAGGCGAAATTCCATCTCACTTATGACTTAATATTGATCCTTTTTGCTGCGGAGCAATTCAATCTCACTTATTTCTAAACTAGCTTTTTCAAGTCTAATGTTACGTTTACATTTGTTTACTCCTTTTTGGAAAGTTGGCAATCTCAATTTATATATATCTATGAAACACTGAAATCACACAAACGATAGCAGCTAGATTCCGAGTGTCTGTTTATATACAAAATATATATTCTGCTATTAATGAATAATGTGCCATCGACTTATGGACATTCGCGTTTGCTTTCTCTTGCTGATTTCCATATTTTGCATCAAGTGATGTTTCATGTATACGTGGAAGCACAAGTATTGAAACAATTTGAAAGGCCTTCGGCAGTCCGGCTTCTGGTTTTTGTTCTTTAATTAAGCACAAGTTTTCAAAACGATTCGATGTTCTAATTTTCGTTCTTTTTGCATTGATTCACTAAATGGACTTTAGCTACTGTAAGTTCTATATTTTTATAAAGTTTTGGTTTCTTTTATTTATTTATTTAATATATTCGCCCAAATCAGTTTATAAAATTAATAATTTAAATAGAAAATATTTACAATAGTAAGGCTAGGAACCTTCTAGAAACCATAAGGCTTTTGTTTAAGGTCCCTAGTTACAATTCAAATAATATAATATTAATAGTTAGTGTAATACATCTGTGTATATAGTCTATAATATAATGTGGTAAATATAGCAGTAAACAGACTTGATATGAAATCTGATCTTAATTTACCTGTATGTCAATGAGACGCACATGTTTAATATCTGTCACCTCTGATTGCCCTTTAACCATTGGTTTTGCATGGCTACTTTAATATACGTATATATATTGCTTTTTCTCAGTTCCACTCATGATCACCTCAAGCTCACAGCTCATGCACTAGTCGCTGCGAGTAATAACTGTGCTTGATATAATTTGTGCTATTTACTGTAGTTCTATTTGCTTTTAATGCCCGCAGCAATCCCTACCTTGCAGGTACCCTAGTAAATAATAGATACTGCGTTTTTCCGCTTGTCATAAAAATTCCCAAAAGGTCAAACAGAGTTGCCTGTGGAAAAGGCTAGTGTTACCAATTGTTTTGCAGTATAAAGAGCTGCGTGACGGACGTTAGCTATCCTTCTCGTGAAACATTGTTAAAACGAAAGAAAATTTGCTCTTTGCAACACCTGTGGCATTATAGCAACAACTATATTTTACATCGACGGGAAAATGAAGATAAATTTGTTTATTTCCCTGCTCTTTAATCTGGTATATGTAGCAAGAGGAAATCACAAGCCAAACATTTTGTTCATATTTGCTGATGACTATGGCTTCAACGATGTTGGCTACCATGGTTCCGAAATAAAAACACCAGTCTTGGACAAACTAGCAAATGAAGGTGTTATCCTCGAGAAATATTATGTCCAACCAATATGTACTCCAACAAGATCAACAATGCTTACTGGTAGATATCAAATTCATACAGGTTTACAACATGGCAGTATACACCCTGCGCAACCGAATTCCTTACCTCTTGACGAAACTACAATCGCAGACAAATTAAGTGAAAGCGGTTACAAAACTCACATAGTTGGGAAATGGCACAATGGATATTATAAAAAGGAGTGCATGCCAACCTACAGAGGATTTGACTCATATTTTGGATATCTCAACGGACGTGAGGATTATTATACACACGTGAGAAGCGGTGGTTACCCAGAGTTATTACCGTTTAGTTCATGGAGCGGCTATGATCTGCGCAGAAATGAAACTGTAAGCACAAAAGAAAAAGGAGAGTATTCGACATTTCTATTTGCAAAAGAAGCTCAGAAAGTTATCACGAATCATGATTCCAGTTCCCCATTGTTTTTATATCTAGCATTTCAAGCAGTACATGCGCCCTTGCAAGTACCCGAACAATATATCCAGCAGTATGAGGGAGTGATAAAAGATAAGAATAGACGTACTTATGCCGGTATGGTGTCTGCTATGGACGAAGCCATAGGAAATGTAACTAAAACACTCCAAGAAAAAGGACTATGGAATAACACTGTGTTGATATTTAGCACTGATAATGGTGGTCAGGTGTATAAAGGGGGAAATAACTGGCCATTGAGGGGTGGGAAAGGAACATTGTGGGAAGGTGGTGTACGTGGTGTAGGATTTGTGAACAGTCCTTTGTTAACAAAGCCAAGAAGAGTTTCGCATGAAATGATCCATGTTTCTGATTGGTTCCCGACTCTTGTGAAGTTAGCTGGTGGTGATTTGAATGGTACAAAACCTTTAGATGGTTTTAATGTTTGGGAAACAATAAACACAGGTGAACCATCTCCTAGAATTGAACTATTGCACAACATCGATCCAGTAAAGACACCATGGTATAGTGAATGGTGGAGTCATGGTTATCAATGGTGTCCACAGGCTGCATTACGTGTTGGGGACTGGAAACTACTCACAGGATGTCCAGGAGATTCACGTTGGATTCCACCTCCGAACTCAAGTCTCAACTTGAATGAAGAAAATTATTTGAACAATGACACCAAAAAGTTGTTTTTGTTTAATATTGCCCAGGATCCTGAAGAACGACATGAACTATCTTCTCAATATCCAGAGAAAGTGAAGGAATTATTGTTGAGACTTGCAGAATACAATAGTACTGCAGTGCCAGTACGATACCCTCACCCTGATCTTGCTGCTAATCCCGCGCTGCATCATGGGGTATGGTCACCATGGGTCACCTCAGAACATACAGACATTACTGCATAGTGCAATAAATGCATGGTTGCAATAAATAAAGTTGATCTAAGATCGTTTTGAACTTGCTTTTTAGACGCGAATTTACAGATTTAAATAATATTGCAATTATGAACACTAACACTCATTAATAAATCATAAGCTTATTGGCAAATCATGTCAACCATAATATGTCACGCGCAATGGCTTTAAACCTGATAAAACACTCCTAATTAGTTTCTTTATATAAAGAATACTAATAAGGCAGTATCTGTTGTAGTCATGTCCTCATTAGTATTCTTTATATAAAGAATACTAGTAAGGCAGTGTATCTATTGAATTTGTAGTCGTGTTTGAAGCCGTTTAATAAACGAGCAGGTCGTGTTTTATTAGGTCTAAAGCCATGCACTCGCGCCGCGCGCTTGTGGCTTTAAACCTAATAAAACACTCAGTACTTAAATGGTTCCTTGAGTAGTTGAGATACAACAACGTCATGTGAATAGTGCTATCATTATAGGAAAACGGTTGAAATGAATAAAATAGTAATAGCAATTTATTTAATGTCTATTATACTGGATGTGGTTGCTCAGTTCACCCGAGGCTCATGATAAACGTACTCGACAACGAAGGTCTAAGGACGCTTTTCATTAACTCGGTCAGACAGGTCAAATTGTTGAATGGAACACAAAAGGGTTTTTTGACGAGAAAACAAAACGGGAGGACCCAGAGAGAAAACTCCTCGAAGGAAGAGGGAGCAACCTAAACTATACGTACATATACGTTTTCAAGCACACCCGCAACCTATTGTAGCAGGGGTAAAGGGTATGACCCATTTTGTTCTAATTAAATAAAAATTAAATTACGTTCAAGTGGCCACTAAAATTGTGAAGTTTTTTGTATCTTTTCTGAAAACGTGAAAATAGATAAAACTGAAATATCTTAAGATTGTAGTGTGATGCTTGCATCAAGGAAGTTAAATGAAAGCGATCATTTGGAGCTCTATATCGAAGTAAATTTGACGTCTAATTGACGTCGTGTACGTTTTCATTTAGCTTAAAACATTTTCCACTCAAAATGGCGGAAGTGACGTGTTGTGACGTCACTTGCAAGGTTGAGTATGATTTCCACTAATGATTATCTGGGTTTAGAGATCGAGGGCTTTGCGAAAAACTAACTGTGTTTTTTCTTCTACAAAAACAAAGCAATAGAAAAATTTGGCTAACGTTTGTCTATACCCAATTCGCAATTTTAGATAACTCACATACCTAGTTACTATTCTTCCAGTGTACAAAAACATGGAGCAGAACAAAGGTAACTAAGCTTTAGAATAAACTATATAAGTGAATAACTCTTATACAATTCTAATACTTACCTTTGTTCTAATAGGTTTTGTTTGTGGAAACACCACGTAAATTTATTACTGCAAAGCTTTCGATCCGTAAGCCCGGATCTTCATCAGTGCTAATAATATGCACATATTATTAGCACTGATGAAGATCCGGGCTTACGGATCGAAAGCTTTGCAGTAATAAATTTACGTGGTGTTTCCACAAACAAAACCTATTATATTTTATCACCATGCAAACATACAAAGAACTTATTACCTTTGTTCTATTATATGCTTCTGTATATCTAAAGTTGTGAACAACGATGCAACCATATAACCAACATTAGCCAAATTTGGTCTATTAAATATTACTCTTAAGAAAATCAATGAATAGAGATTATATCCATCATTGTACATGCAAGTACTCAAGCAACTTAGAAACCTAAGTCGGTGGATAATGATAGATATAAGAAACTTACCTTATTACGAATCTTTCTGGCATATGTGTCCATATCAAGTGTCTCCAGAAGTTCAAAATCATCAGCAATGAAAATGTCTTTTGTCCCTAATGGAGCTAACACCTAAATATATAAAAGAACACATGTTTATATTTATGTATTGTATTGTATTGTATTGTATGAACTCCGTACATAATGCTGGATCGTTTTTTTTTGTGAAATGATATTAAATGTTAATTGTTGCAAGCCAGAATAAAATTTGTGTACAAGACGTGTAAAGTACAGGTCTTTATTCAAAACGTTAACAGGAAGTAACATACAAAATACGCTGTGAATAAGCAGGCAGTTCCAGTAATGGATGTTAAATTACACACGTACACAAGGCAAAATAAATGAACAATAAACAGGTCATAGTAATAAGACAAAATATAATGATAGTACTTATAATTAGTGTCGTTTATACTGGGCCTGGTTGCCCGGTTCAACAGTTGAGGGTTAGTTTTTGCGGATGGAGAAAAATTTTCGAAGTACAGGACAAAAGCACATACAACAACTGTGACCAGAGTAGTCACCCATCAATAACAGTACACTAGTCGCCACCTAGCAGGCTTAACTCGGCAATAGTGGGCAGCGTGCTAACTACATGATACATCTGCCACTACACAGTACACAATGACATATCTACAACAAGCTGGATACCTACCCTGCCATTAACAATCACACCAATATCCCCTTTCTTTAAGTTCAAAACTTTATCACAGAACAACTGATGAACGGTTGTCTTAATCCTGTATTGGGCAACATTTTTCTCTAAGTTTTCTCTTAGTTTGGATATTTTGAAACCCTGAAAACATAATGAAAATTGGATGAATGTTACTATGAAAACATCGCAAAGAAATATAAGATTGGGTACCTGCTTTCGTTATATGTTTCACTTCACTAACTTAGAAAAGAGGGTTTAGTTCTAATGGACAACATCTACCTATTAGTGTTGAAATTACATTTACAAATGTGCATATGTGACATAAAAACTCGTTAAGTTTGTTTCAATTCCCATAAGTTATCCTATTTAACCAGACGACGATAACTAGAGGTGTCCGTTGGATAGAGGGTTGTCGAAAACGCATAACGAGGTCACACGTTCCTTAAAAAAACTCGTAACTCGCTGATTTTTCAAGATTTATTCTGGCCAAATATGAACTCCCCAAGCACATGCCGGTACTACAACAACCGTTTCACTATCACGTGACCTATGAAGTTTCCAACAGGGTGTGTTAACTAAAGGTTCGACTGTATTATCAGGATTTTGGCATCTCACTCAATAGAACTAAATGTTGAAGCACAGGTTCCATTCCTGCCAGAGGACCTAGGCCTAAAATTTACATAATTTACAATGGAAATCTCCATCTACAAAATATCCTTCGACTGTATTCACCCTACCTTGACTGGTGTCGCTAACTTGACGATATAGTCAATATTGGTAGTAATTGCCTCGTAATCCTCAACATCATTCAGTAATGACTTCACTACACTGACTATAGCCGGGGTGACATATGAATCTGTATTTAATATTGCTTCCATCACAAATGATAATGGATATCCAGCATTGTCATCAGCTTCAGTGTTGTGTATGACACCAACTCTGTTACTTTCCGATTTGACCTTGGCGGAAACAAGATATAAAGTGAGCTTATGTAACTTATCCTAAAGTACTATACCGTATAGAGTATCAGGCTTAACATATTTTATCTGAGAGATCAATTAGATGAAAAGCCGGATTTTGATGGCCAGACAAGGGATTTGTGTCAGGTCCTCTTTTCTTTTCCATTCACCCGCATTTAAGGAAGGGAAACAGGGCCTGATACTCAGGAAATATACATGTACCGTAGAGTTGCAAATATTTGCAACACATTGTATTGCAGTATTGCATTATACTGTAGAATCTCTAGAATTGTGTGTATAAATAAGGGAGGTTCAGATTTTGACTTGCACTATCGCTACTATTAACCAATCAAATGCGTTTAATCTGATATATACAAATGAAAGAAAAATAATAGCATTGGCTAAAACCTAAAACAACCACGTAAAACAACCGTGATTGCGTCTCTCAACAAGAGTCAGGCTTCAGTCAATGTTATTTCTTTTCTTTCACTTGCATATTTAGCGTCTATAGGAACATGAATGATTATAACCGAACGTACGTTTGCGCAGTTCGATAGTATGCAAATCATTATGGAAGCCAATGTCCCACTATTCCTACCATTTGGTCTAAAGCTGCGTTAAGGAGCTTCCGTCCTTCAGGCTGCCTTATATCAGCAATAATCCAATACGTGATCGGTCGTAACTCCATTTCTGCAAAGCAAAGAAATCATATATAAAACATTAAAGGAACTATGTAAGGCCAAATAAAAATAATAGTTGGTTTCAGGTTTCCGACCGACCTGTCAAAAATATGACCGACCATAAACATTTTATTGACATTTACCAGTAGAGATCATCTTTTCGTAAATAGCAGAATATATAAATAGTCATCAGACTCATTTGTCTACAAATTATTTTGTTTGCTTATAATTTAATCATTATCTAGTCATCTTAATCATAGTTTTACACAAAGAACAGTTGAATAAAATATTAAAAACGTACATTATTCTGACATGGCAGAAAAAAGACGAAAACGCCTTGATGCGTTTGTTTCTCGCGAAACACATGTAGCTCGCGGGTGACCCGTGTGGCACATTTGATCACGCATGACAGTTACTCATAAACAATGGCGGCGCGAGAAAGTCCGGCATCGCCGATTGTTTTTGTTATTTCAAAATGTAGCCATAAGCCTGAATCCAGAGCATATATAACCTTGAACGACGGGAAACAAATAAAGGACATATTGTGGGAATATAATGATAGGGTATGTTGCTGTGTGCCCATTTCAGCGGCAACATCGAATGACGCGATGAATATTGATAAAGGTCCTTGGACGAATATAGATATCAACTCCACGTTAACTTTTAGCCAGTTTAATTCCCTTACGTATACGGGTGAAAAAGCTGTGAAACTCACGCTTGAAAGTTTACGTACGTTTGAATATAACAGGGAAAAGCCACTGAGAGATTACAGAGACGTTCTGCAGGGGTAAAGGAAGAGACTGCCTCCTAAGCGCACATTTGCCAGGTGAGTGAATATAAAATTTGCATGGACATGCTGTTAATAAATATTCATTATTCATGCTAATCTAAATTATTATCGTTAGTTAAAATTCATGAACATGGTTCACTTGTATTTTTGAGCAATATAACTGTATTTGCTTTTTACAGTGCTGGAATGAAAGATCCATCTAAGTTAACTGGCAAAGATGAAATAATGTGATGATAAATTAATGTGATGTCATTAATTGCTGTTCAGCAAAGCTTGCAGAGGACTTAAGATGGTTGCCGGACCAGTTATCAACAAAGAAGGAGATCATTATCTTCCACTGGAAGCTGTGATTGACACGGACACCACAGACTTGAACAGACCATCTACAAAGCTAATTGAGATGTACTGTATCTACTTTACCATTTATTAGGAGGAACAACGAAAAAAACCTTCAAATTTTACAGCTCAACATGCAAGAATGACAGTTGATTGTGCAGAGTGTGGGAAACCAAGAGTAATCTTCAGTAAAAACAGATGATCTGAATGACAGCAGATAACCATTCTCACTGGGTTGGAAGAATATACATGCGGTGGGCATATCCTGCTGCCGGATAAGCCCCTGCACAAAAGTGTGGATGTCAAGCTGTCAGTAAATTGCGGTGATCCTGTAGAGTTGGCATACTACAGTTCCAAGCTGATATTCCCAGGGCTGATATTTGTTGCCATTGTGGCAGAACGGGTGCAACCCAAAACAATGCTTTAAAGGAAAAATTCAAAACAGTTTTCCCTATGTGTGCAGGTTGCATAAAAAATGGGCTTCTGCCCATAACTGCTAGACCATTTGGCAAGAAGTAGTGAAGATGTCAGGAATTTAAACGATATTTAGTTGTTGTTCGTTCCCTTGCATGTCAAGTTTTATATCTATGCAGGTGAAAACCTGATGTAAAAACAATAAAAACTAAGAGTTTATAATGCGTTTTAACTTATATTTATTGCATACTTGAGATAAAATATTTTTTTAAAATAAAATGTTTTTCCGACCTACCTACCCATATAGAACATGGCTGTGAAACCTGAAACCAACTATTTATTTTTTTTGGCCTAAGCATTATCTATATATAGGAACATCAAAAGAGGTAATTTGGTTGGGCCAAACACCGGTTTAATTTTGTATATTGGTAGAAATATGATGCAATATATGAACTACATTTTCTTGAGTGACATTTTAAATTTCATACCAAGAAATATGCTAGATGATTTGGTAAGCACAATTAGCCTTTCTCACGAAGGCCAAAATCCGCCATTTTGGGGGTACTGTCTGCCCTCGTAAAAGATTCTAGACAATTCAAACAACGTGAAAAGCAACTTTTAAAAGTTGTAACTGTAAATTTACCATTATACAAACTACCATACTAAAAGTTGTATTTCGTGCTGCGGAGACTCTCAAACGTGGGAAAGGCAGTATCTCAAAAATGGCGGAAAAATCGGCCGTGAGAGAGGCTAATTAGAAAAATAGAATATTTACCAATTTTTTTAAAGATCAGCTGGCGCCAACAGTGTTAACGGTGTTGTCTCTTTCTAGATAGACCGATCACTAGGAATACCCCCCCCCCCCGTTATTTTGCGATGGATTAGTGCTTCTCATCCACAGCTATAGAGGGCGTTGTTTGTCAAGCATCAGAAAATCCTTATTTAAGTTTACTTGATTAATGTTAGATCACACAAAAGACAGTCTTACAGTTGGAAACACGTACCATTTTTTCCAATAAAATATTTCATATTTCTACCGACAATATCAACAAGATGATCATTTCCTAGAGCTTTTGCGTCTTCAGCTGTAGTTGGAAGGTCGCCTATATTAAACCAAAATATAAATTGGTTATTGCATGCGTCAAAATGCACGAGAAAGACGTTGTATTAGTAGAAAAGCCTGTTACCGAAACGTCTCGACTAATGGGAGACATTTTTTATGATGACTTTATTTTTTGTCACGTGATCGCTTTTATATTTTTAGTATAAAAGCTGATATAATTTTCCCGACCCCCGCTAGTAACTCCAGACGAAGGGCATTCGCTCGAAACGTCGAAATTCTCCTTATATTTTTCAGGTAGTTGCCTCCCTACCAACGAAAGCTTGTGAATGTTATTGGCACAGACAATACAATATTGTAACAAGGTGATAACAACTTGTTGCAGACTTGTCACAACAACTGAGAACAAGCAGTGCAAACACATCCTGATATCTGCTTGACAACAACCTTGTTACAACTTGTTTGTTGAGATCTGTAACAACTTGCGCGTTTTACATGTGTATGTTTCAAGTAAGTGTTGCAACGTTTTATCTGCGGCTGTTCATCCTGATAGATGCGACCGTAGGCAATTTCGTCGAGTTCATAACCATTACTTATTTCTGCACATTAAAAGTATCTCAGTAAAGGCGAGACGTCCCGAAAACAGGGATGATATATCCCAATACGAAAACACTTATCTACCTGACCATGATCTACCAACAAGATCAATACGAGGTTTTGTAGAATCCTGGATGATAGTATTTAGACGTTTAACAACATTAGGTTTCTCCATGATATATTTATAGACATCCATATCATCTCGAAGTTGGCTCTACAATTAAAACACAGCGGTAAGAGTACATGTATTTTACACGTAGTTGTATTAATCCGAAGCTTTCTTACTTCAATACAAATACCAAAGTATCGTGCGAAAGTAAAAATGGCGCAGAATCTCTACTCATATACTCTTACTTAAGCGTTCTCTTCAATTTCTGGTTCTCAAACATTAAAAAGTTGATGTGAATTGAGCTGATAGTTAAATACATTTTACTAAAATGTTAAGTGGTCTTAAACTTTTTCTGTTTGCTACAATGTTGCGAAAATACGGTTGCAGCCGTGAAATGGCGGTTGCGTTGCATTTCGGTTGCGATTTAATTACAGTAGACGATCGTCGGTCTACCTATAATAATTTATGCGTATCGTCAACACAATGCAATCTTAAACGCACGACATTAACTTGTTACAAACCTTTGTATCGAGTTGGTGAGTTGATTCTTATGATGAGTGAAAGAATTAAAGTAGGCGAAATCAGGCCAACAAATGACAAATTGTCGTACGAAAAAGCAGTTGTGAAGGCCCAAAAATTAGCGGCCGATAATTTAAGACCCTGAGAATTGTTGCAATAAAATAACTTAATTAAGTTTTTAACGCTGTTAAAGCCCACACAGACCGGACGCGATTTGGCAACGCGACGCGAATTTTCAATGACATTTAACTTCAATATTTTTCTATGTTTTTCAAATATTCGGAACCACTTAAGCAAGTTTAGCTATTTGGTCTGCATATCTTGTAAATTTTTTATCCGTTGACGGTTTTATTTGTTTTTAAAAACTGAAAATTCGCGTCGCGTTGTCGAATCGCGTCCAGTCTGTATGGGCCTTTATAATTGTACTTTGCAAACCAGTAATATAACATACCGTGTATACAGCTTGTTGTAACGGTCCTGTTTGTATCATGATTTCTCTGCCAATCATTTCTTCAACTATACTGATCTAGTAGAAACGTGAAACAAACACAATTATCGCAAGAAAATGAAAATTTATAAAATTAGGGAAGCAACACCATGGGTTTGTTTCCAGGTTTCTATACCATGTTTAAATACTTCTTGCCAGGCGAAGAAACTCCAATATCGTTGGTTCAACTTACGGGCCTACGCACTAGCTACACGTCTACGCAAATGAAACAAGATTTAACGGAGTAGAATGAATCTTTCGTATAGTATATTAAATGTTTCCACAGGATGCTGGCCAGACCAAGCCAGAGGTTCATGATACATGTGCTCGACAGCTGAGGTCTAAAGGCCTTGCAATTTTTGCTGCGATTTTCTTCTTCTGATGGATGTGAACGAGTAAATAAGTTACGAATGCTCTAAGTATATGTACTCTCATCTAAACATTCCTAACTCATTCACTCGTTCACATACATCAGGAGAAGAAAATCGCACCCAAAATCGCAATAAAAATTTAAAATGTGAACGGGCCTTAAGGTTTAGTTTGTGGGTAGGAAAGTAAAGACCTGGGCCAGTTGTTCAAAGCTAGATTAGCTTAACCCTAGGTTAACCTAAAATTCAAAGCAAACATCCTGACAGCTTGTTTATAAATTTGGAAATATTTCTTCAGATATCTTGTCTGGATCGATAGGAGTTTACTTCTCTGACGTTTTGAAATAAACAGACGTGCAGAAATATACAAACCAGAACAGCAGGTTAAGTTTTAACCCACGGTTAGCGCTAATCCACCTTTGAACAACCGGCCCCTGGAGGAAAACCCTCAAACCAACCACAACTGTACTGACATGCAAGCAGATCACGTCTGTAGATGGTAGTCCCCCAATGGACGACTTTTAATCTGGGAATAACAAAGGATATTTTCGGAAAGAAGTTATCAAAATTAGAAAAACTGCAAAGTTTGGTTGCGAAATGTTGTAAAATACGGAAAATATAGCCCTGCGAAGTTGACAAATTTGTATACATTTCTATTACGTGCGGAAATTGGTAACTAATTTAGTTACCAATTCACGCACGTAATACAAAAGTATACAAATTTGCCAACTTTGAAGGGCTATATTTTCCGTATTTACAACATTTCGCAACCAAACTTTGTAATATTACTAATTCCAAGACGCTCTTTCTAGCTGTGGTGATAGATTTCGTTGTTCTTACTTAGATTAAAATTTAGTCTAAAGCGCAAGTCGTCCATTGTAGAAGGGTTTTGTAGCTGGGAATTTCGAATGTGAATTTTTATACATTTATTAGACCTAACCAGGAGCAGTTGCGAAGGTCTCCTGGCAGGAATCGAACCTGCGACTCAATGCGATTCCGGTGCAGTGCTCGAACCAACTCAGGCACAGAATTGGTTGTCGAGCTCTAACCACAAGTTCAAGTATATTTACTAAGGTGATGCCATGGTAAGGTGTATGGGTAAATATCAGGATTTGCGGGCATCTCACTCGATATAACTAATTCTAGAAGGGTATGTAGAAGGTAATGCCCTTCTCTACATGCAGTAGCAGACATAACTCAATAGTAAAGAGCAGCGTGGTAGCTGCATCTGTCATCCGTACTTTCCTATATCTATAAAGATGTTCAGATTTGACTTCCGCTACCTCTTAATCGGATAATCAAACGGATCTGATTGGCTAATAGTCCATTAATGGTAGCGATAGTCAAATGTGAACCTCTCAATTACTACCTCTTCAGTATCCAGAGGAACGCCATTCATGATAACTTGTGGAAGCTGTCGCAGTCCAATACGATCAAAGAAAAGTTTCGCAGACTATAATAAAGAATAAAGACATTTATCGAAGATCTAAATGAAAAAAAAATACTACATAAAATTAGTTACTAGTTATTTCATAGTCCTCAATTAAGTTAACGAAAGCACAGAATAATCAGAATAATACAAAGTGTTATAATTATCTGTACGTGGCTTTAAAAAAGAACAGAAAACACACGATAGTGATACGTTATGGGATCGTTACAGACAAAAAAAACTACTGAATTCAACTATTTGGTGTAAAGGCTGATTTCCACTGTTGCGTTTTCGTACGCATGTACACGCACGTAAAACTTGGAATCCGTCTAGTTTTTTAAATATTTACAAATAAGTTAACAAATGCATACTAAAACTTGCGGAACACTAAATTCTGTTGCTTTATTTATTTGGTTATTTGTATAGGTAATCATGCGACGGCGAGTACAATGATTACTTGTTTATTAGCATGACAAAATTGGACAATACTCAATGTCAACATCATATTGTCTCGCCAAAGCCCAGTCCTGACAGACTTTCAACCAAAATTTGGAGCTTTTGTTCATATTTTCATTTAGTTCTTTTGCTTTAAGTTCTTCTAGGGCAATTTCATTTGTGTTTAAATACCTTTCCGCCATTTTGTTTGTTTTGGGAAAATCATTAATTGTACTGCAGTACAATTAATGAAATAATTGTCCTTCTCTCAACCAATCAGCATCCAGTAATTTTGTCATGCTAATAATAACATAAGTAACATTTAAATGGTTTAAAGTTTTACGTGCGTATATACATACGTATGAAAAACGCAACAGTGGACATCAGCCTTAAATCACCTGTAGCAATCCAAAAATACATCACTTTCATTACTATAACCAAACTGTTGTTACACTTTTCCAGAATAGCTAGTACCAGCAATCCATGTTCAACAGATAAAAGTTTCAATATCTGCTATAGTTTATTGAAACTTTAATTAGGTTATTTCAAGTTTAACCTTGGTGAGTTCCCCTGCATGCCCAGTTGATAGACGTGCTTCCTTCCCCAGACACCGAGTGAACCAACCTTTCTCAAATCATCATGGTCAGTATTTGGTCCTAATATGTCGTCAGCTTCTTCTTGACTATATTGTTTCTTAAACTGAGTATATACTTCATCTGCTGTAGGGATACCATCGCTGTTGGCGTACAACTGAAATACAGAATGTTATAAATGAACTATATATAATTGGAATGATCAGATTTTGACCAAGAAAATGTCCAAAGGGAGGCCCTCCCAAGTAGCGAAAAACAGAGAGAGAAGTTTACGTTGCCCCAGACTCCTCCAACTCTCTGTGTGGCTCCGCTATTTGTTGGGACTTTTATACGAATCCAACCACCATTCTCTTGTTATAGCATGATCACACTCCCGTCTATGTTCACTTCCTTCATCTCGCATAAGCAACTTAAAATTAGGGGTATTAAAAGACTATCAGAGGATAACCGTTTATTATAAGTAAACGCATGCTTTGAGGGAAATTAGTGATTAAATGTCCCCGCAAACCGAGGGAGGTTTAGTAAACCTCCCGAGGTTTGTGGGGACATTTAGGGACTTTTACTAAACCTCCGAGGGACTTTTACTAAACCTCCCGAGGTTTGCGTGGACATTTAATCACTAATTTCCCTCAAAGCATGCGTTTAGTTTGTAAATACATGGTAGCCGAGGGAATTGCGCGTGTTATGTTGCCTGTTTTGAATGCTGTTTGATTGTCTTATGATTGTGGTAAGAACACTTTTCATATGTACGCACGCGCAGAAACACATCTCCGTGTTCATTCTTTTTAGTAAAACTGTCTGTACCAGTGTTGGTAGTACCAATGTGAAAATAATGTTCAAGATTGCGGAATAAAAGCTGGCAAAGTGATTGTTCGAATGTGTACGGGACGGTGTCGTCAGATACTGTCCATAGTTGTGCCGATGATTTTCGATGAGGTACAGCTCTCCAATCAGAGGTAATGAGGTATGCTTTTGTCTTCTAAATAAAATATCCCTCATCAAACATGCAGGGGAAAATTAGAAGACAAAGAAATCCTTTGTTTTCAACTAAATATCCCCGTTTCCCGGGGAAATTTAGAAGACAAAAGCGTATGCATGGGTAATGAGGGAAATACGTGATTAAACGTCCCGGTTGAAACAAAAGAAACCGAGGCCACCATGTTTTTACTATAATTATGGTGCAAGTTTTACTACGATCGCATCGCTCGCACAGGATGGGTGATCCAGGAGTGATCGATCGAAGTCCTCTTTCTTGTACGTCTGCGGGACTAACGTGAATATAGGACAACTTTCAATCTTTCACGATGTGTCCGCGAACATGAAGCGGGGCAAAGACTATCATGGTGGAAACCTACATCGTACATTCAACCAGGTTCATCGAGAGAAGGCAAAGCGACGATGGTAAACGGCCTTCAGGCTGGGTACTTACAAACTTTTATTATTATCAATTACACTGGATTAACTCCCGCAACCGTGCATAATTCGCTATTTTAATCATGCAAATGCCATAGAAAGTTTGAATAAACAAGAATTTTGCAATGTAAGAAACTTCTTCAAGGACAAAGTAAATCGAGATAAGTGTTACTATACCCTGGTTACAAATGCGAATGCGGCATCAGGACCATCATCATTATTAATAAAATAAAATGCTCGAGCAATGCCAACAGCAGCATCCGTTCTTCCATCAACATTATCGTCTGTTTCAGTGACTACAACTAGACCAAACCTGAAGAAATGTAATATATGTATAATTACACTTGATCAGGTTTCATTGATGAATGTCAGCAACCATCACGTTAATCAACGTCACAAATGTTTACACTGACAGGATAGTGGCGGACACTAGGGGACAAGTGGGGAAACCGCCACTCCCTCCATCCCAATAATTTTTGAAAGTCTTTGATGGTAACGCAATAACTGTGTATAACAAAGCTTTAACAATAACTTTTCAACCATCAAAGCATTGATAAGTTACATTTAACAATTATAATATAGCATTTGTAAATTCTGAACGCTGATTGGCTAAGACCCGTGTTGATATAACTCAATGTCAACACGGAAACGTCGGAAAATTTCTTTCTTTGTGCTTCTTTATGCTATATTATATAACAAATATAAAACCTTTTTTCCGTATTGATATATATAGGTTATCATATAAGGGATGAGGTGATATCAGTTTTATCGCTCGAGGGATGATATCACAATTGTCACGAGCGATAACCTATATATATCAACACTCGTGGAAATTGGGAAAACGAGAAATTGCGCGAAAACACTCCGTCCTTCGGGCGTCGTGTTTCCACACAATTTCTCGTTTTCTCACTTTCCACTCGTGTTGATAAGTTTAACTGTATATCAACACAGAAAATGTTTTATATTTGTTAAATCATAAATATATATTAAATTATATATTGCATGAACGTTAAGGCATAAAAAGTTTAAATAACTAAGATATGAAGCTACCAAAGGTGGTCATACGTTATCAACCTAAATTCGCCCACCCAATATTTCGCGACGCGTCCGGCATTGTGATAGGACCAAGAAAAAAAACCTACATTTCTCAGTTTTACTTATGAGCCAACAAATTCAGGACTACTGCAGTTGTGTGAGCCTCGAAGTCCAAACGTTGATATCTTGAAGTTTGTGATTAATGCAAGCAAATTGACGTACCTGATTGGCATTTGGTTTTGAATCATTTCATCAGCAATGCTGATAAGTTCAGCAGTTGTAGACGCCACAGGATCAACACAGAGTACCTGGAACAGAATGACATCACAGACTTTTCCTCTCACAATATTTTCAAACGTTTTGGTATACATACTAGGGACGAGTGACAATATTTTCTTTAAAAACATAGCTGTTTAATCAGTTAAGAAGCTGAGCTTTAACAATCGCTTTTCAGGCTTTTCCTTTTTTATTGTTAATGTGGTTTTGAAAAGCACTGGTCGGGAACAGATTTTGCAGTACAATTATAAATAATGAAAACGCAGTCTTCTTCGCAGTATTGTAAAGTGTACATGTGAAGTTCAAAAATATACGAAGTAGTAGTGCATGACTTACCAAATTGAATATATTCTTTGCAATGTATCTCAGCATGCCCATGAATGTTGGACGCAACAACTAAATACGAAAATCCAACGAAAAATGACACGGGAATTGCAATATTTAACAACCATGCACTGACGTGAACGTATAGAGAACAAAGTCCAAAAACGAACATCATGAGAAACCCAAGACATGTACTATATTTACAACACGAGCGGCTGTGTTGTATCGGGTATACAAACTCAAGCGAAACGTCTTGATGATTCGTATTCTTCAACACTTTGAAATAAATAAATGACATTTGGTGAGAAAATTCAACTTAAAGTTTATGTAAATGCACATGCATGACTCTGTATCAGATGTCTCTGTATCAATTGTTTAGTAATAATGTAAACATTTTATATAATAATTGGTTTTTAATTTTTCAACAAATTGTTGAAACATATTCATAGAAAAACGGTAGTTATCCGCCCACACGATAAACCAGGGATCAACATGCAGTAAGGTCAGAAAAGCTATTAGGAAGCGAAACAGACTGCTAAAAAAATATTCTAGACTAAAAACATCGGCATCTTGGGAAAAATAGAGTAGAAAGAAATTATACCACAACATTAATAAGATCAAATAAAGCACATTACTATGCAAATTAAATAATAAGCTTCAGGAACCCGAGGTGGGCTCAAAAAAATGGTGGGGGATTGTTAAATCTTTATATCGGCAAAACAAGCGCGAAACGGTCCCAACGCTCATGAAAGGTCCAAACATAATCAGCGATGCTAAAGAGAAAGCTGAAGTATTGAATGATTATTTTTGTAGTCAGAGTACCATTGATGATAGTGCTGCGACTATTCCTTTTCAGTCTTCTGTCATTTTGTCAAACGTGATTGCTACTGAATATGAAATAAATAGCCTCTTACGTGTAGAAGATATTAGTAAAGCATGTGGTCCAGATGGTATAAGCAATAGAATTATTAAGATTTGTGCAAATGGTATAACCAGTGCTTTTACGCATTTAGTTAACCTTTCACTGTCGTCAGGAGTTTTCCCTGAGCAGTGGAAAGCAGCAAATGTTATTCCATTATTTAAAACTAAAGTAGATCGTGAGTCAAAGTTGAATTATAGGCCGATTTCATTGTTAGATTCATTATCTAAAATAATTGAAAGAGTCGTTTTTACAAGACTTTATAATTTTTTGTTGGATATTAAATTTTTAAACCCATTGCAATCAGGCTATCGGCCAGGTGATTCGACAGTAAATCAACTAGTATATTTAGTACATAAGATCCACGAGGCATTTGAGCAAGGCAAAGAAGTAAGAATGGTTTTCATTGGCATTAGTAAAGCGTTTGACAGAGTTTGGCACAAGGGTCTTTTACACAAGCTTCAATTAATTGGTGTCGGGGGCCCTTTATTGAGTTGGTTTGAAAGTTATTAGGGGTCCGTACTTGGCCCATTGCTTTTTTTTATTTATATAAACGATATCACCGAAAATCTTGAATCCTATTCTTTATTATATGCTGACGACACTTCTTTGTATGATATTGTTGACAATCCAGACACGTCTTCAACAAAATTGAATAATGATCTTATAGAAATAGAAAAATGGGCAAAACGATGGCTTGCTACAAAGAAGACTGAATGCATGACTTTTTCAGTTATAAGACTTAAACCATGCACCCCATCCTGATCTTTATTTTGCAAACGAGAAAATTTGTGAAGTCTCGCAACACACTCATCTTGGCGTTAAACTCACAGCAAACCTCTCCTGCATGAAAAGCCCATATTGTAAATATTTTTGAAAATGCTAATAAAAAGTTAAATATGTTAAAAGGCCTGAACTTTAAAGTGAGCAGAGACACTCTAGGCAAACTATATAAATCACTTATTCGTCCTATTATGGAGTATGCGGACGTATTGTGGGACAACGGCATAGCCAGTGATTGTGATTTATTCGAACATGTACAATATGAGGCAGCTAAGATTGTAAGCGGGGCAATAAAAGGAACTAGTGAACATCGTCTCATGCAAGAAGTGGGATGGGAAAGTATGTCTACTAGAAGAAAAATCCATAAGCTTATTTTATATTATAAGATTGTAAATAACTTGAGTCCAACTTGTCTTAAAGAATTACTTCCTTTACAAGTCTACGAAAGAACAAACTATTCTTTAAGAACAGTTTCGGACTTTTTTCTTTTTAATAGTCGCACTGGACGTTATAAAGGATCCTTTTTCCCATCTGCTGCAAGACTGTGGAATAGTATAAATACTGAGACGCGTTCGCTAGTTTCACTCGATTTCTTTAACTAGGGATCCAAGGATAGTGTGAAGTTTCAAATTTAAAAAGGCACTGCAAGAACTATATAGGGTCGCCGACAACCTAGAAAAGCTTGATGGCTTACACTACGAAATAAACTGTTACCAAAGGCATTTCATCTCATTATTTATTGCTTTTAATACGCTCGGCATACGAGTAGCGTGAAGTTTGAAACAAACACATCAGAACGTGCCTTGTGAAACTGATGCAATTCATCTATTTATTGTGTCACCAACAACCAAATTTTGCATATTCTAAATTTTCATTTGCATTTGCAGCTGTCGCTGAAAGCATCCCCACGAGGCTACTGCTATGCTAAATTTATCTAATAAACTGTAATTGAAATAGATGTATAAGATATGTTATGAATAATAAGCACTACGTTGTTACATCATTAAAAGACGCATTTTATCCTCATCCGTTCCGTTTGTTATCCGCATATCCGTTCCGTGGATCCGCTCCATCCGCCTCCGCATTTTAACTTAATTGTGACATGTTTCACAATAACAAGTTTCATTGACCTTTGACTTTTCCCAGTGTGACGCGTGTCTATTTTCAGCTTTTCGCATGTGTTGAGTATAAATATCACTTTAGATTTCAATAGTTTCACAGTTATAGCAGTGTTTTTAAAACATTTTTGACAAGCTTTGATACAGTTCTGTGTACAGAATACTACAGATTGATTCTCGTAAGATCTGGTAGAGTTATCGTTGCACTGAATACGAGTTTGCACCGTTGACAACGGCGTTGTGCTAGACACTAGACAGTAAACAAAGACAAGGTCCGTGAATGTACACGTTGGCTACATGTACCTCCTTGCTTTTTTCTTCTATTGCATAAAGCTTGTTGGCGAGCCAATTAAGCGATTAGCGATAACATGTTGGCGATAACACCTAAACACGTTGGCTATCTCCTCGTCTTTCTTATTTATACAACAAGCTCTGACTCAACTGATTCCTTTAGTCTCGTAAGTTTTTTTCTTCGTAAACGCCGTACAAACGTTTACCCGCTTCTGTTTAATAGTTGTTTATGCTTTATTGATCTGATACAAATCTGATGCAATTTTTCGCTCTTTGTACTGCATGAGTATAGCCATCTATTCTGTGATGTAGCACCTTATACAGTCAATGAGAATGTATAATGAATACACGGTCTAAATAATATCGACGGTAATGCATAACATCAATTTATATATTGTATTACTATTATTGCGTAGAATCTCAAAGATTTACTCAATATTCATGTCTGAAATCTTTATATACTTGAAAACAACACTGTCTCGCTTCTGCCTACGTACTGTACCCCTGTATAATGAGAATACCGTGAAAATAATATCGGCACTTAAATGAATGCCTAGAATCAAGATATTCGACTCAATATTTACGTCTGAAATGTTTACACACTTGACTGCACTGTCTAGGCGGTCTAGCTCCTTCCTAGCTCTGTATAATGAATATACCGTCTAAATATTATCGGCACTTAATTGAACGCCCGTAATGCATAAGTTCAATTTATATATTGCGTAGATTTTCAAAGATTTACTCAATATTCACGTCTGAAATCTTTATACATCTGAAAACAACACTGTCACCCCTTCCTAGCATATCGTCACGCCATCGTGATCTACGGCTTGATAGCGCATGCGCATTTGCGCTACTAAAGAAAAAATCGGGTGTTCCGGGGTAAAGATCCGTTACACAACATGAGAAGCGAATGTTCTAAAATTTACAAAAAAATACAATAACGAAAGCGATTCCTCGAAATTTTTGTGAACTTGGCAAAAGGATAACAGAATATGTAAATAAGTTAACTGAAATTGCCTAAATAACCTTCAAAGTACTGACTAAGTACAATAAATCACTACGAACATAAATCGTATACACCCCCCGGAAAGTTTACTCCCTGACTGACTGATTCGTGTGAATTCGCCAGCCATCACAATAGTGTGAAGTGAAACTTCACACTAAAAACGCTAGCTTTAGTTACCATTTTTGACTTACCTGTTTCAAATGTTATTTATAATTTATCTAATGATAGATTTTCTTCCGTTTATCACACTCGCCTGCGCTTAGGTGCTTGTGCATTAAATTCTTATCTCTTTAAAATAGGATGTAAAGTATCCCCAGTTTGTACGTGTGGTTTTCATACTGAAACTATAAAACATTATTTTCTTCGTTGTCCAATTTTTGCTGCCCAAAGACAGAAACTGCTCTCCTCTGCTGCTCAGATGTTCGCTGACGATTGGTCAAGAATGAACGACGATCAAATTGTCGAAATGTTTTTGCATGGATCATCTTCATTATCATTAGAATCAAACAGAGAGTTATTTTCTCTTGTTCAGTCTTATATAAATGAAACAAAACGTTTTCATTTGCACGATTCTTGACTTCCGTCAGTTCTTTATCTTTTCCTTATATACTGGCATGTTATTTAAACATTTTGCAATTGTAAGAAGTGAGCCCCCTAGATGAGCGTACGCGCTCTTGGGGCAAACTTTGTTTGTTTAAACAAATTAAAAATATGTTTAAATAAAAAATTTAAAAAAACTCCTTCACGGACATGATTTCGTTTGTATTTTCTTCATCATTAATGAGTTTCACAAGTATTAAAACAAGACTACAAACACAAACCAAACTGTACACAAACAAACTCGTGCCTATATAATCTCATTTTAATCCATGTTTTTCTCAAGATGTTCATTTTAGGACTTTGTTTTGTATAATTATACATATAATTATAATTGTATCTTTTAAAACTGTCGGCTGGTACCCCTTTTTACTACTTAAAGCATGAGCGGCAGTGTTTTATCAGATATAAAAATACGAGGCGAAGCCGAGCATCTTTAGGTCTGATAAAACACGCATTGCGAATGTTTTAAATTGCTTAAAAAACGATCGATCTGGTAAGTTCATTGGCGAAGTAATTTTCAAAAAATACGTTGTGTTTGTCGAGAAAATCAAAGTTAAAGTTTATGTAAATCAAGGGAAATCTCTATCACATATAAAGATACGACGCGCTTATGATTTTTCTTTATGTTTCCCTCATGAATTATTAATGATTTTTGAAGTACTATTTAAAACGACCATTGTGGCAAAACTAACCTCAGTAACTGAAGATGGCCAGTCGCGATACTGCGCATCACGTTCGAGATCATTGACAAACTACAAGAAAAAATATATATTAGGTCATAAATAGATTTTTTCTAGCGGCCGTGGTCCCTCTTCCGATTTGTAGGGCTGATTTCAAATTCCAAATAAACTGATATTTGAAAAAATGTTATAAATGTCATCCGACGATATCAACAACTGACATTAAATGTGTCTTTTAACATTTCGGAAAACCAGAAATAAGCCTGATAAATTGCAGTGTGCATGTAAAGTTTATTAGCGTAACTCAAATTACTGACATATAATGTACGATGTTCTTTTTAATTATGTGGTTGCTCAATACACCTGAGGCAGAGGCTCATGATAAAAGTAAACCACAACTCGACAAGTAAGACCAAAGGGTTAGTTTTTGGTAGGGGAAGAAAAAGTAATCAAACTATATTTATACGCGAGATAACAAGTGCAGGGTGGTCACCCCATCCTAAGTATAATATCGTACCTATACTCAGAAAGCGCGTTAATTGTAACTGTCACACGAACTTCCCACACGAGGTTGCAAGTATATTATAATGTTGTACATACAATGACTGAATGTCTCATATTGGTAAAAGTACCAAGACATATATCAGACAGTTAAACCACCTGAGGTAGCAGTGTAGTACATATTAACGCATTACTCACAATGACAGAATGATGTCTCATATCAACCGCATAAGTTTCCTCATCAGTTTCAACTGACATCATCAACATATTTGCTAAATCTTCACCCTACAGAAACGAACCAATAAAAAGTGATCACAATAAAATTAAGTAGCATTCACCTCAAAGTCAGGAGTCGTGTGTGACAAGAAATGCCAAATACTGAACTACAGTATAATATTAAGGTGGACTTCAATGATCTGGTTTCTTGCACTTCACTTGGTGGTATTATTATTAGAATGCTGTTCTTAGGGTTTGTAATCCAAGTGAATATATATATACATTTTAAGACCTGACCAGGAACGACTGCGAAAAATGCAGCACAAGGTCCTCTGGTAGGAATTTAACCTACGGCCCTGCGATTCCCGTGAAGCGCTCTAACCAACTGAGCTACAGAGGCCAGCTGTTGAGCTGTAACCGTAAGTTCATGTATATATAGGTGATCGGGTGTGCGGGTTGTGATAAGGTGGACTTGAATGACCTGTCTTAAAATGTATATATACTTGAATTACAAACCCTAACAACAGCATTCTAATAGACGACTAGTATAATATTAACAACTACTATATAAACGATGCTGGACAATGCAGGGGACAATGCAGGGGACAATGCAGGGGAAGAGGGCATGATGAGAGGAGGTGTGAATGTTGAAATGGATCCTAGGAATTATACTGAAGGACAAGGAGTGGAAAGATCAGAAGAAGATTTGGAGTAATAAACTTTCCAACGAACGTTAGAGGAATAAGTTGGAGATGATATGTATCAAGAGGTGAAGGAGCTGGTTAGAAACATTATGAAATAAAAAGAAGATGTGGGGTGTTATTACAGAGAACGTGAAGAGAACAAGGCTGAGAATATTCGCATGTAATATAGGAGAAGACGAAACAGAAAGGGAGTCGATAAGAGACATTATGGAGCGGCCAGAATTTGCGGGTATAAAGAGTGACAAGATTCCTCACCTTAACTCCAGTACTGGATAGCCTATCAAGTACTTTTCCTTCATCTCTTAGAAGATCGAGTAAGCTACAATAGAAAATGAAATATCAAGTAGTAATATATGCAATAAAAAAGTAAAATGTAATTTTTACTACGGTCCAAATTACATGCACATTACAGTGCAAATCATGTTAAAGACATTTACCTGAAGGTATTGAGATCTTCAACAGATATTTGCAGACCATTGATAAAGAGCTCCGTACTACCTGGACTAATGTCAAACTTCAGAAATGCCTAGGGTAGAATAAAAATCAGAAATAAATACTATGTAGCTTTCTGTGGCCTTCAAAACTAAATGCTCGAGTGCATCACTCCGAACTACGTTTACCACATATCTACCACCATACTCCTTTACCAGCAGACAATTTCGCAAAATATTAGATGAAACATACTCCGAATATTAATATCTTATAAACTCATGATTCGAGCTATTTAAACAAGACAACAACATTCAAGTTAATACTTCAACTTCAGGTTTGACAAAGACTTTGAAATATTAAAAGTCACCATACAACATCAAATTTTGAAACGAGATATTTACCTGTTGGTTTCTTAGTATTTCCTTACGCATATCTTCACTAACTTTGGTCTTGACCAACGATCTTTAAAGAAAGAAAGAAGGAACGTTACCTTGTTTATAAAAACAAGCTAAATATAAAGAACAACATAAAAATATCTTTGTGTTCTGTTTCAAATAGACAACTTGCATGTTAGACTAATTTTTGATTTACGAAAATGTTGTAAAATACAGAAAATATAGCCTTGCGAAGATTGCATATGTTCAGTACGTTTGTATTACGTGCGGAGATTGTTACCATTTTGAGCCGAAAATGGTAACGATTTCCGCGCGTAATACAAATATACTGAAAATATGCAAACCTCACAAGGCTATATTTTCTGTATTTTACAACATTTCGCAACCAAATTTTGCAATTTTACTAATTTCATTATGCTCTTTTTAACTGTTGTTTGATTCCCTTCTCTTTACTTAGATTAAAATTTAGTCTAACATGCAAGTTGTCCATTGGATCATCAGATTGGCCGCATTCGCCACATGCACAAAGAATTCGAGGGAAACTTGACTAGATGCATGAAATAGTTTGGTCTTGATGAAACTTCACTCCAACTAGACTAATGATTTAGATAGAAGTAGCTACTATGTACATGAATAATGTTGAAGAGTTTCTCATATGCAAATGCAACTTTGAATGTACATTTTATACTGTAAACACCAGGATTTTGGTTCAGTATCATCCAACATCCCGGTACTATCCTGGTACGATCCAAAATCCTGGTACTATCCTGGTACTATCCTGGTACAATCCAAAATCTTGGTGTCTGCCCATTCATCTTACGTTGGCATCACCTTAGTACATATACATGAACTTGTGGTTAGAGCTCGACAACTGGACTCTCTGGCTTAGTTGGTTAGAGCGCTGCACTGGAATCACAGGGTCGCAGGTTCTCGATTCCTTCCAGAGGACCTATAGTTTTGCATTTTTCGGAGTTCCATCTACATATCCCTTCGGAACAATTTTATACTGTATCTTTTTAGACCTAAAAGCTGCGAAAAATGCAACTACTGTATCTACTGTATATGTCATGTGGCAGGAATCGAACCTACAGCCCTGCGATTCCGGTGCAGTCGAAAAAATCGTGAAATGGACATACCTTGCTTTTGATGGCAGATTTTGACTTATATCTTGAAGAACATCCAGAGCAGCATCACCATCAGCTGACATTACACGTTGTGCAGATTGAAAGCTAAGATCTAGATAATTATTAACAACGATTTACACTACACAACTTTTGCCTAAAGCTGGCGCATGCAACCCGCTCACAACTAGAGTTGTACTGTCTAAATCAAGCACAAAACTCACCTATGTTGTGGCAAAAGTTGTGTAGTGTATAAATCTTTACACAACCAAGCAGCAATATTGGTATCGTACATGTATCAAATAAATTAATTTATTATATAAACATAAGTGTTATATAGAGTTTTTGGCCACTGAGAAAAATCGTATTTAAACACACGTAAAAAATACATATTTTTACGTGTGAAAATATATCATTTGTTGCAAAACGCATTGCCACGGACGTTTTATTGTTTTTCACTGAATTTTGTTTATATAATAAACAGAAAAATACATGGGTGCTTGGAAATACCAGATTTATTTCTCGTGTTGAACATGATATCTCACTCGTTCGCTGCGCTCACTCGTGAGATATCATGTTCAACACTCGAAATAAATCTGGTATTTCCGCGCACCAATGTATTATTCTCTTTGGGTGAGTTTGGAGATGAATACAAAGAAAAACTCTGGTACTCTGGTCAGCTGAACAGCTGGTGTTTATGCGATCATGATCATCATGCACTTCTATATTCTTTCTCTTGTTTCTTAAGTTATCCGTAACGGTGGTCAAGACACCCTACCTTGTAACTGCCAAACTTTAAGTGGGGCCATCACTTGGGAATTTTCCTTCAAATGAGATTTCAGTTGATCTAGCTGCTCGTTCAAATCTGGATGTAACTTTCTGTTGGGAAAACAAACAAAAACTTGGGATATATCGATGCAATCTAGGGATATATCGATGTAATCTTGGGATATATCGATGTAATCTTGGGATATATCGATGCAATCTTGGGATAAAAGGAACTCTGGGTTCGTTCTGGGTTTCAGTTCTCGTCAGTCAGGAACAATGCTCTTTGTTTTGAGTGAAGATCTTTCTTCCCAGAGAGTCGGTAACTTCCAAATCATGTATTTCGTTCTGGTTAACCGACACCTAGAGTTGCTTTATTAACTTCCACGTTATTGAGTAGCAACATATGAGTAACATATGTCTCAGTTATTTTTGTGTGTGTGTTTTGATGTTATGTACTCAGGTGAATAGAATGTTTTTGATGTTACTCTGAGTGCATATCCACACCGGGCAGGCTGAAAATTTAGCCTGACCACGGTCAATGCTCTGCCAACTGAGCTACGAGGATAAGTCTGTTCGAGTGTGTGGTATTTTGGAACTAAATCTAGTACCTTCGATACCAATGTGTTCTATGATCATGATATTTTTGTCATAGAACACATTGGTATCGAAGGTACTAGACTTAGTTCCGAAATACCCCACACTCGAACAAACTTGGCCTCGTAGCTCAGTTGGCAGAGCATTGGACTAGTATCCCAAAGGTCGCGGGTTCGATTCCCACCGTGGTCAGGCTAACTTTTCAGCCTGCCCAGTGTAGATATACACCCAGAGTAACATAAAAAACATCATATGTCTCAGTGTTAAATAACTTGATGAAGAACAGTTAAAAGTTTTTAACATTATAACATCAATAGTGCCGTTTTTAAGGAATTTTAAAGGTAATATTTTAAAGGTATCCCATTACGAAATTTTGCTTTCTAACTACGTCCTAGTAGATATCATATTGGGTTTAATTCTTTACATGTAAGTAAAGTACCTTAATTTACCAAACAGAAACCCATCAATATCGTTTTCCTCTTCATTTTCTTTATTCCCAGTATTATCGTCACCACTCTGTATCTTACTGTCATCTACTGCTTTATATTCCGTGTTCTTGACAGCCAGTTCTACACCATACCCAGATAGACGTACTTTATCCTTCGATACCGTCTGAAATAAAAATGGGATCGAAGAAAGTGATATGTGCCAGCAGCATCAGTTCTAAATTGTTCTTCCTATAGTGTGAGATATACTGTACCATATTGTGCCACTACAGGAGAAAAAAGATGTGACTTGATAAACCAACGGTACCTGGTACACTAAACAGGAAGCATTCTTCTCACATACAACTGGGCGAAATTATCCTCAAACAACTGCATACTGCAGGAATGGAACCCCAGTTGCAGACGTAAACTTGTCACTTCTCGTGTTACTTTTACAGCAAGTATCTTAGCATTCACACAGGTATCATACAATCATATTGATATAGTAATGTTTGTGCAGGTCGGAACGCCCTATGTCTATTTCACTTTACTACTCATTCACCAATAAACGTTTCCCATTGTGCTGTAATCAATTTTCTGCATTGTGCTGTAATCTCTTCATTATCTATAGAGTTCGCGACATTCTTTCGAAAAATATTAAACTTAGTTTTAAGTTTTGTTCGAAAAAAAACTCAATTCTTGTCCATGTCCGTATTTCGCACATTAAGACAAGCTATGGCACAAAACACATGGCAAAATAAGCAACACAACAAAAAAGTCCGAAATAAGGGAAACAATATTAACGGTTGTTTAGCGCAAAACGGCAGGAAACAAGGCCTGGGACGAGGTTGTGAAACTATCTTAAGAAACGTCCATTATACTCACATAGAGTGCCTGGGCAGGTATCGAAGAATACAAATTAGTAACATGTGTGTATGATACAATAACCTGAAAAATGTGGAAAGAACTTCGACGTTTCGACCCTTGGTCTGCATGGAAGTTAGTACATTTTCCAGGAAGTAACAAAATATGTTCAGTTCTACCCACCTGAACATAATGTCGAAGTAAATATCGTATCTTTCCCGAGCGTGCAAGTTCCTTCAGTTTTTCATGAAACACTCCGAATGTTGCTGTACCAACTTCACCATACAATATAGCAGTGACTGGATTATTGTGACTTGATGGGTACACATGGTCGAAGGTGTAGGTGTAAATATTGGAGCTGAAAATTCAAGGAAAAATAAAAGGTATTCAGCTCAAAAACGTAACTTATTATTTGTTCTAATTTCGCCTACTTTGTCTTCAAGCAAAATTTTATGTTTAAGAAGTTACAATGCAAACTTTATTTTAAGTTTTCATGTACATATACACACATGCATATATATGTACTTTATTATCTTTCCCCAAAAGAGGCTTTTCTAAGATAATAACATGTTTACGATATATATATATAGTTATAGTTCATGCAAAGTCCAAAACTGACAATACGTTTGATTACTATGTAACTAGAAATGTTACGTTGTTTATTATTTTATTTGGGGTTGGGTGTGGGGTGGGGGGTGAATGGACAATCGGAAATAAGATAAACTAAGGCATCGTTTAAATGTCCCTATATTGACGGAGAGATATGTGCAGGAGCCCATCAAGCAGGAATTATGCACTTATTAAAAGCCATAGTTGCACTGCGCGATAGTATAGTTGCATGAGTACAGAGTAGTCACAGGACGCCGTTTTATACGCGAATATTTTTAATGCATTGAAAACAGTAGTCATGTTAAGAACATCACCTTTCTTGGTTGCTGTCGATCCATCTAACTGCTTCGTCTAAATCACAAGTGACTTGAGCACTAACTTCAATAAATATTGCACATTGTGGCACAGTTAATTGTTTAGATACCTAACAGAGAAACAATAACAATGTTATGTATAAACTGGATGTTTTAATGACCTATTACCTAATAAACAAAATTTTGATCTAGAGCATCACAAAATTAGCAATATTCTGAAGTTTGTTGCGAAATGTTGTAAAATGCGGATAATATAGCCCTGCGAAGTTTGCCGTTTTTCAGTCATTTTGTATTACGCACGGGAAATTGATACCTTTTTTCAGAAAGCGGTATCAATTTCCCGTGCGTAATACAAAATGACTGAAAAACGGCAAACTTCGCATGGCTATATTATCCGCATTTTACAACATTTCGCAACGAAACTTTGGAATATTACTAATTTTGCATGTGATGCTCTTTCAAGCTGTGGTGAAATTTTGTCTAGACTTGTTGAGATCAAAATTTTGGTCATTAGGCAATAATTAGGCAATAGATGGTAATTAATTACTTTCTTTACTGAAGTAATTTGTAACGTAATTAATTACATTTTGAAGGAAACGAGTAAAATTTTCTTAAAGTAACGTCACGTTACTTTTCAATTTTACTTCAATCTCTCACAACATTTATTGCACATAATCTAAAAAGTAGTAAAACGTTTTTCTAGGCTACCTGCCTTAAGAACTAGTGAACTACTAGCCTCCTCCGCAGGCAACTCTTGTGGCATCCCAAATGGCAATCTTTTGAAAAATCCCCATCAAAAAAGAGCAATACTGTCGCGAACGGCGAATTAATGTTGTTTTGGCCGAGTAGTAATAAAATTAAGGGGATTGGGTCGGGGGAAAGGCGGAAATTTTATCCCCCAAGATCCCCCTTTATCCGCCTTTCCCCCGACCCAATCCCCTTAATTTTATTACTACTCGGCCAAAACAACATTAATTCGCCGTTCGCGACAGTATTGCTCTTTTTTGATGGGGATTTTTCAAAAGTTTACCATTTGGGATGCCACAAGAGTTGCCTGCGGAGGAGGCTAGTGAACTACTACGAATACGATGTTTACAAAATTGAAATATCTTTCAAATAAGCCTGCGATATGCGAGATACGCGGCGTGAGTTTTCATGTATTGATATGGTTAAATTATGTCTTTTTCAATTTCCCGCCAATTTTGCGCGAAATGATTTTACTCAATTTAGTGTTGTGAAGGTCGAAAGCGGTAAGCATGATTTAAATACAAAAAGTAAAATGAAAAGTAATTTTGAAAGTAATTGGTAATTAATTACTTTTTGAAAAGTAATTAGTACGTGATAATTAGTGACTTTTTCTAGTAAAGTAATTTGTAATCTAATCAATTACTTTTTAGGAGAAGTAATTGTAATTTCTACTCATTACTCAACACTGGTTATTCTAATGAGTTTCACAGCCATCTTCCCTTCGACAGGTTGAACGAAGGCTCGATAGCTATTTTTTTCAACTTGTGCGTTGATTGCTAACTTTCTTGTTGAGCAACTTTTTGGTTGTAACAGTTTGCTTGTACCTGTTTCAATACTACTCATGCTTGTATACGTACGTAAAAGCAGTTATATTGTACTAATTAATTTTCTTTTAATGTCTTGTCTTGTATAACCCAGATTAAAGCAAACTTTAGTATTTTTAAATTAAAGTTTGAATTATTTTTATTTACCATCCATATCTGTACAGTTTTTAGCTTTTCGAGTGCATCCTTACACAACGGTTGAAAAAATCCCTATCCTGTGAATATGGCGCTATATCAGGCCTTCGTACAACTAGGGCGCCCTTGCACAAGCGGCTCCTGGCGTATACGAGATATACACAATAAAAGTATGTTTATTCATGCAATATACCTCCCAATAACGAAACTCTGGCCAATTTTCATGCTATTTCTCTAATGCTCTATAGGACCGGTTTTTTAAAGCAGAATCAGCGTTAATCCTGCATGGGTTAATCCCGCTATTTTCGTTTGTGTAACTACTACTGTATGTCCGTTTATTTCAAAATTGTAGAAAATCAAACTTCAACTTATCCAGATGGGATTTTTGGAAAAGTGTTTCCAAGTTACAAGCTGTCCGAAAGTTTGCTTTGACGTTCTACCCAGGATTAAGCCACACCGCTTTTGAATAACTGACCCAGTACTTTACTACCAGCTACACCGCTTTTGAACAACTGTCCCAGTACTTTACTACCAGCTAAATCGCTTTTGAATAACTGACCCAGTACTTTACTACCAGCTAAACCGCTTTTGAATAACTGACCCAGTACTTTACTACCAGCTAAACCGCTTTTGAATAACTGACCCAGTACTTTACTACCAGCTAAACCGCTTTTGAATAACTGACCCAGTACTTTACTACCAGCTAAACCGCTTTTGAACAACTGACCCAGTACTTTACTACCAGCTAAACCGCTTTTGAATAACTGACCCAGTACTTTACTACCAGCTAAACCGCTTTTGAATAACTGACCCAGTACTTTACTACCAGCTAAACCGCTTTTGAATAACTGACCCAGTACTTTACTACCAGCTACAGATGTATAAAAGCACACTATACCTGATTAAATAATTCTATAGTAGGAGAATAATATCTTATAGATAATGAAAACTTGAATAAATTAAGCAAGGTTGGAGATAATAGCTTCCCAGCTGATTCAATGATAAAGTTGTATTGATCTAGAAACAAAAATAACATAAATCATAATATTACTTAAAATACACAACAACGGTAACTCCGAATAAAGACAACATTTTTTTATTCAACGTTTCGACTTTATTTAGTCATCATCAGGAATGGATAATGTTATATAGTAATGCCAATATATACAGAGAGTTAGTAATTTAATATCTACTAGTAGAAAACCAATAGTTCTCGGGACGCTTTGATGCCATGGTTCAGTTCCGGTTTCTGCCTGTGAATACCGAGTGCTTCTTTGAATAGTAACACTGACCAGTGTTTTGCCTTGTCCAGGATGGTGGAGTTGTGGACCATTCACAGGCAGAAACCGGAACTGAACCATGGCATCAAAGCGTCCCGAGAACTATTGGTTTCTACTAGAAGATATTAAATTACAAACTATCTTATCTGTATATATTAGCATTACTATGTAACATTATCCATTCCTGATGATGACTAAATAAAGTCGAAACGTTGAATCAAAAATGTTGTCTTTATTCGGAGTTACCGTTGCTGTGTATTTCATGAAAATGCGGCTCAGTGGTTCCCGCAATAATATTACTTAATTACATAGATTTATTGACTGCAATATACGGTTACGGAAGACATGCATAATGCATTCTAAGATTTGAGTAACAATTCAAACTTTTCACGCACGACAACGCTGTGATAGAATTAGAAATTAAAATACCTTACAAGCAGGGCCGCCGGGGGGGGGGGGTAGGCACTTTGCCCCAGGGCCCCAGTTTGATCCAAGATTGCTTAACTAAGCATATATATCTTTGCTGCGTTAGTGTCAGATAATATGCAATAAAGAGCAATATACTGTAAAACACCGCATTTTCAGTTTTACATTATGACGTAATAGGGGCCCCTGGGAAAGTCTTCGTCGAAAGATTTTCAACTTCATCGGACATATCTTGGGCAGTCACGTAATGAACAAAACAAAATTCTATAAGTCTATAGCGAACAAACTAATCTTCACGCAGACTGTTCCAAACTATTTATAACTCTGTGCTGATCTTCATCTGGATCATACAAATTGTCGTCAGTGTGGTGATCTCCCGCCTTAATTTTCCCGCCCGCAAGTCCTCCCCAAAAACATCGGCTGCTATACGCAGACTATCCTCATTGTAAAGGCTGATTTACACTTCACAACTCATGACTGTCGCATGCAACCTATAACAGCTGCACAGTCTTGAGTTGTACTGTGTAACAGCTTGAGTTGTACTGTGTAAATCAAGCACACAACTCACCTGGGACAACGTGGACGAGTTGTATGCTTGATTTACACAGTACAACTCAAGCTGTATAAAGCAGGTTGAATGCGACAGTTATAGGCAAAAGTTGTGCGGTGTAAATCATCCTTAACACGGAATGATTTTCAACATCGATTTGTGATGCATGTCATAGTACACCAAATTTGATTGCGCTACGCATAATCATCGTTGAAAATTATCCCATGTATACATAACATCGCTGGGGGAGCTTAATTTCCTCTTAGTAATTCATCTAAGTAACTTGGTAATGATTCTAGAATAAAGAATCAACAATATAAAAGACTTCAATGATTCAACTGAACAATAAAAAATCTAAATAGAATGTGTTAACAGCTTTATTTACGGCATACATACCTAATTGTGTCTTGAAATTGTGATAAGATTTTGTTAATTCTACAAATTCCCAAAATTTGTCATTTCCTTCTTTGGCTAAATATTCACTGTGAAAATAGAATGAACAGAAATGCTGGTAAAATTACTAAATTCTAATCATTAATTATCATTACAAATTAACACATAAAGAGCATCGCCAATATTTGTGCCGCGCACATAATGGACAGGGGGCTCTATATATATATACTGGAGCAAGAACTTCAGTCATTCGGCCTAGTTCAATGTTCCAGTCTTATTAGAGTTCACTATTCGGCCTATGAGAAAAGTGAAGCCAAGATGGCGGCCATTGACGTCCAATAGCTATGAAGGTCGTAAACGGTTTTCAGGGGTTTTTTCAGGATTTTCTCTTGGGTCCGTTTTTGCAGAGAAGAATGAGTTTAGCTGAACAACTGGGGGTCTCTGGCAGCTGCGAGAGGCTGACTCCTGTATCCAATAAGTGTAGTTCAGACGCAATGTGTTTAAGCAGAAACTATAAACTGGTTAAAGATGGCGAATACGTTGTTTTTCTTGTGTTGTGAAATGAATTCCACCCATTTTTCTTGATTGTCAGGTTTCCAACTGAAAACTAATTTGCACATGTCACGAATTTAACTCAAACAAGTTCATTTTTACTGCACTGAATCTTTTGGTGAGAAGATTGAGTTTCAAAACTCAATTCAAGATTGAGTTTTTGGGGCCGTTTAACGGTCCTAAAAATTCCCTGAAAAAAACCCCTGGGTTTTTATACCATTTTCCCAGCTAATTCTATTTTTTTTTCTAACAGACCATATAGCTAATTAAGTTTTCAGTTCATGAAATCATAACATTAGTCTTTGAATCGAAGTCAAAATACGAAATTGCGGCACACTCCTCGCCAAGATAGAGGAAATTGAAGTGCCATAGAACGTCAGTTCCAGTCCCTTTCCATTGTTTTTGTCTGCGCGGTTAACACGAAGCTGGCTTCACTTTTTGGACACGAGTTATCGCTCCAGATATCTATGGAGCTCACTGATAATGGATGAAACCATTGAACTAAAAATAACTGGAACGCTACGTTCAAGCGGAAATTTGAAGCTAAATTCTACAAGGTCGTACACAGGCTTTAAAAGGCCCGTTTTAAATTGAAAAGGCCCGTTTCCCTTTCGATTTGCATCCTGCCATGAAAACGTTCAAAACGGCATGCTTCGAGCGCCCCCTGCATTGTCTCGCGAGTAAATCGCGCAGTAGAAACACGCGTGGAAGTGCGTGTCTGGGAGTCAAAACTGGCTTCATGGGAGTCAAATTTTGGCTTCAAAATTTGCATGCGCAATTTACTGAAAGTAGCGTTCCAGTTATTTTTAGTTCAATGGATGAAACTGGAACCTAGATGTGACGTCATCGCTACAGTACCCCAGGTATAATCATTTATACGATTCAATATAACTAACCTTGATTCTAATAATATTGGTGTTGATGGCCACTTGGCATCCAGTGTTGCAATTATTGGCTTAGATGTGCAACTAGTTTTCTTTATCAGCAAAGCAACCACCGTCAATAATATTAATAATTTCTAAAAACAATTAAAAGTTTAGGAATTTACTCCGCATCAAACACCAGCTTGCACTCGAAATAACGAGAGTCGACGTTTAACGACGTTCTATTTTCACTACTTTTGTGGGGCAAATCTTTACATACAGGAAGACCCCGCGTATATAAGAACCTGTATTTTTCAAGTCAGCCTAAACAGGTTCTTGTATAAATGGTGCTTATCGTGAAATTAGGCTAAACAAGTTCATAAATAGGCTCTTAATTTCTAAAGAAAAAGCGATTCATTTTCGTTTGTTGTTGATACAGTTATTTTTTGTTGATGTGTTCATATACTCTGGGTCATTTTCACTACTTTGTGAAGAGTTCATTTTCTTTGATTTATAATTTTTAGCTTCTACTCTTAGAGTGATAAAACTAAAATAAGAACCTGTTTGAAATTTTAGCCTAACATGTTCTTAAAATCTAGGTTCTTATACGCGGGGTCTTACTGTATTGTACCAGACTCCGCAAAAGACGCTTCATGCAGATTCTTGAGCGGCCATGTTGACCTCTAAACCTCCATGCACTTAGAATTTATTGCGAAGTATGGGGTTTCTATGCTTGAAAGTGTTGTATTATCTGAAAAAGTAGAAGGCTGGCGGTGGCCCAGTCCCATTGGGTTGATGATATGGAGAAATTTAGGTTTGATTTCCAGTATATGTATTTCCAGTATATATACACCAATCATATGTATTTAATCTACCCGATTAACCAATCAGATGCTTATCGAACCAGTGGGAGGTAGCGATAGCGGTAGTCTCCCTCGCAGCCGCTCTTACTACGATAGCGGTAGTGGAAATCAAATTTGTGTTCTAGGTTCATGTCCCGCTGTTTATGAATGCTCACCCTAATCTTTACCCAGACCTTCGCTCTAACTCGTAAACAGTGAGATGTGAATCTATATCCCAAATCTAAAGACTCTTCTGCTCATGATAAAATCAACTCGCAAGCTCACTAGTCGCTACGAGCGATTGCATCTACTTAGAATTAACTGTCCAACATTGTGATTGGATGAAAGCACTTGAGTCTCGCGATGAGTGGAAAACCGGCTTAAGGCCGAGACAAATGCCCGGACACGATTTGACAACGCGGCGCGATTTTTCAGTTTTTGAAAGTTAATAAAACAGCCAATAAAGGAAATTTTAAAAGATATGATTTTTTCTCTGTTGGTGTAATGTACTCAGGTGAATATGATGCTTGTGATGTTACTCTGAGTGTATATCCACACCGGGCAAGCTTGAAAAATATGCCTGACCACGGTTGGAATCGAACCTACGACCTTTGGAATACTAGCCCAATGCTCTGCCAACTGAGCTACGCGGTCTGGTCGGTTCGAGTATGTGATATTTCGGAACAGAATCTAGTTCCTTCGATATCAATGCTAGCTAGTATTCCAAAGGTCGTAGGTTCGATTCCAACCGTGGTCAGGCATATTTTTCAAGCTTGCCCGGTGTGGATATACACTCAGAGTAACATCACAAGCATCATATTCACCTGAGTACATTACACCAACACAGAAAAAATCATGATTATTATTAGATAACATTGATATCGAAGGAACTAGATTCTTTTCCGAAATATCACATACTCGAACCGACCAGACCGCGTAGCTCAGTTGGCAGAGCATTGGGCTAGTATTCCAAAGGTCGTAGGTTCGATTTCAACCGTGGTCAGGCATATTTTTCAAGCTTGCCCGGTGTGGATATACACTCAGAGTAACATCACAAGCATTTAAAAGATATGTAAAAACCAAACAACTCAAAATGTTATAACCCTTCTAAAGTTATCGTCAGTGAAAATCGAAAAATCGGGCCGCGTTGTCGAATATATTAAGTTAATCCAATTTTTTTCTAGGTTAACCACGACATTTTAACCCGAGTGTTTTTAGAGTGTGGCTGAAGAGCATCATGAAACAGGGAAAAAGAACAGAATAAAACCACAACAACAAAGAGTGAAATCAAGCGTAGAAATCATTTCGTTAACATGACAACAAATAAGGTTTTATCGATTTTTAGGTACACTTATTCTCCACGTTTTAAAATAGTCTTAATCTTATGTATTCAAAGACACTAGTCTACAACCAGTACCATAACAATATTAGTTCAAGCTGTGAAGCTATAAATGACTCAAGTCAAAAAACATAATTTATGCCCATTCCAAACATAACTGACCTACCAAATCTAAAGAACAGAATAATTAATAGCGCGGAGCCGTGGCACAAATTTAACTAGCCTTAACATATTTTCACCATTTCGAAAACAACTTGTGGTGAAACGAGCTTAAAATGTGGTTCGTTTTCCTTGTTGCCGTTCTCGTTGAGTCAATAATGGCTAGCAATGTCAGTGAAGTAGACGTATTGATTCTCGGAGCAGGTATAACAGGAATAAAGGCTGGTAACCATTTTCAAAACAACAATCTCACAAATTTTCTCATACTCGAGGCACAAGATTATATTGGTGGGAGAATTAAGCAAGCGAAAGTTGGTAATGTGACCGTGGGGGAAGGTGCGAACTGGGTGCATTATGTGGAAGATGGGGATGAAAATCCTATCTTGGTTTTGGCGAATGAAATAAATCTTGAGAAATATATGACTAACGAAGACGACATTGCTGTTAAGTGAGTTACCTAAGTACCATAATATATAATTCAGAATGTGTAGTATGCACTTTTGGAATACATCAGCTAGAAAAAGTATGCATACGACTATATAACCAGTGATATACTACATTGTAGGTCACATGCAAGTATGATAAGGTGTTCAGGAAAGGTTTTAGAAAAGCATTCCTCAACCACACAAGCAAAAGCGAGAAAACTAAAAATATCACTTCTAATTTTTTGTTTACAGGAATACTATCCACAGCAAAGCAGATTATGAGAAGATTTTGAAAACCTTCAAAGACATAGAAGCGGTAGTTATCGCCGACAACGAAGAAAATCCGCGAAACGGAGACCAACCTTTAAGCTCCGTTTTATCTGCAAATGGCTGGTTCCCAGATACGCCTTTGAAGAAAACGGTAGGCTGGTTACTTGACTTTGAATATGGTGTAAAATCTGCACTAATATCTTCCCGTCATTACGCAGGCCTACCTGAGGAAAATGAGTTTGTCACAGATTCCCGAGGATTCAAAGGAATTATTGACTATTTGGCTCAAAACATCACGAGTAAAATTAAAACTGAGAAAGTTGTCACACAAATAAAGTATAGTTCAGACGGAATTGAAGTGCGCACAAAAGACAACGAAACCTACAAGGCGAAGTATGGTTTATGCACATTCAGCACAAGAGTCTTAGCTTCGGATTTAGTCGAATTTATTCCAGAGTTGCCCAAATGGAAGAAAGAAGCCATAAGTAGAATCCCTCTTGCGTACTACACCAACATTTTTGTGAAGTTTCCAAACGCGTTCTGGGAAGACAACGAGTTTATTATTAACGCAGGGTCCATAGCTGAAACGTTTCCTCACTTGTACAACTTGAACAAGAAAGGAATTCACGAAGGTTCAAATGTGCTGTTATTTACAGCAGTGGAAGAGAATTCTCTTCGTATTGAGGCGCAAAAACGAGACGATAGCTGAAGTTATGAAAACGTTAAGAGAAATGTATCCGAATATCAGCATTCCACAGCCCATAGGTAAGCCAAGAGAACCAGTTGTTTCAAGCCTTCATACTACTTTTAACTATCCGATTTGATAACTTTATAAAATACGTGATGCTAATTGGTTAATTTTTGCACGAATTAGGTAACTTATTAAACTGCCTTTTTATACAACCGACCACTGCAAGACTCGAATTGTTGTTTTCCGTTAGCTTGCTGGCACGGCAAACCAAAACTTTTTGACGAACCTTGGTTCACTAACACACACTTTAAATTTCTAGAGATCTACGTTGGCCAGTTCAGTCAAAATCCTTACATCCGCGGTTCCTTCAGCAATGCTGTTGTTGGTAGCACGTTGGCTGACTTTCATAATTTGCAAGGTCGCTTGGGTAACCTGTTCTTCGCAGGGGAGGCAACTGAAGTGGATTACTGGGGTTTTACACAGGGGGGTTATCTCACTGGTTTGAAGCAAGCCAAAGTGATCCTCGGCTGTCTAAATGGAAAGAACTGCCCAGAGTATGAGTCGGAGGACGCTGATATATGTAAAACTAAGAGCAACATTGTTCCTAGTGCTGGGAATATTGCGAAGTCTTCTTATGCTTGTTTTTTCTTGCTAGTTGTATACATATTGTTTGTCTAAGTCATGTTTGTGACTGCATGCATGGAATATTGAACAATGCTAAACTAAGGCCGCGTTTACAGTAGAACGCTATGGCTAGCATTCCGTGAAAAATTCATTATGTGGTAATGATCTAATAATAATTGTGCAAAAATTGGCTCTCTGTAAAAATGCTGAAACCAAAAAATTTTTGCCCCAGCGAGAGCAAATTTTGGGATCATTATGATTTACACAGACCTGCAACAGGGTAGAGGAGAATTGACCAATTAGAAGGTTAACTTTGCTTACAAAACCTGATTGTGAAATTTCCAATGAACTAATTCACAACCAACTTGCAACTTTGTAGCCAAATTCAAAATTAACCAATAGCTGTTATCGTAATTGAATACGCCGCTGCGGCGAACCAGCGGTATCTCAGTGGAAGTACGCACGAAAACGAGGCTAAAGGGTAAAAAAACACAAAACATGACCCTATAGCCTCGTCTAGATGTTAAAATAATGCAGATACCGCTGGTCCGTAACATAGACGTATTCAATTACGATAACAGCTATTGAAAAAATATTCAGCGTTTGCAGGAATGTGAATAATAAGTCATTGGACAATGAGCGACTGAGACTCATGGAGAACAGTGGGGTTTCCAAAACAATGGATAGTCAATGCAAGCAGTCGGATCCGCACACAAACATCCGTGGCTCGATTCTGCTTTTGTTATGATAATACCTACAACAGCTAATAAAAACGACAACGAGAAGAGAGTGAAATCAAGCGTATGACGTAAATGCACATTGAAATAGCAAGCATCGCTCAGCGGTGCCTAGCATCGCTCACCACGAAAACATTCCGTTAACATGACAACAAATAAGGTTTTAATCGTTTTATAGATTTCTGCACGTAAGGTACTTATTCAAGAGCGTCTTCGTGTAATAAAATATAGTACCGATATCATGTATTCAATTACACTAGTTTAAAAGCTGCACTAATCGGTGCTATAACTATAATAATGGATACTGTATGTATATATAATGGTATATTAGTTCAAGCCCTAAGCCTCAAAACAAAAATATAATTTATGCCGCAAGCATGGGGTTTTATTGACCAATCAAATCTAAACGATAAACAATTAAAAATAAAAATTTAAAAAAACAGAGGTACCATAAACTTTTGCGCGTAACATATTTTCACCATTTCATGAACAACTGGTGGTGCAATAGAATAAAAATGTGGTTCGTTTTCGTTGTTGCCGTTCTCGTTGAGTCAATAATAGCTAGCACTGTCAGTGAAGTAGACGTATTGATTCTCGGAGCAGGTATAACAGGAATAAAGGCTGGTAACCATTTTCAAAACAACAATCTCACAAATTTTCTCATACTCGAGGCACAAGATTACATCGGTGGGAGAATTAAGCAAGCGAAAGTTGGTAATGTGACTGTGGGGGAAGTGAACTGGGTGCAATATGTGGAAGACGGGGATGACAATCCTATCTGGGTTTTGGCGAATGAAATAAATCTTGAGAAATATATGAATAACGAAGACGACATTGCTGTTAAGTGAGTTACCTATTGTGGGTTAAGGTTGCAATCCAGTCAAACCATTTTTCGGCTTCTAGTTTCATGATTTCGTTTAAGTTAAAGTGAATTTCGAATTTAGTAAAAGCTTTGGGGATTTGGGGATTCTATAGAATGTGTAATATACGTATATCGAGCCAGCCTTTGAAGTGCACCAGCTAGAAAACCCGTGCATGCATACGAATAACCATTATTGATACCCCCATTATATAGCTAGGTTATATATGCATGCATGTGTTGAGGGAAGGTTTCAAACCTCAACCACACAAGCAAAAGCGAGAAAACTAAAAATATCACTTCTAATTTTTTGTTTACAGGAATACTATTCACAGCAAAGCGGATTATGAGAAGACCTTGAAAACCTTCAAAGACATAGAAGCGGTAGTTATCGCTGACAACGAAAAAAATCCGCGAAACGGAGACCAACCTTTAAGCTCCGTTTTATCTGCAAATGGCTGGTTCCCAGATACGCCTTTGAAGAAAACGGTAGGCTGGTTACTTGACTTTGACTACGGTGTAAAATCTGCACTAATATCTTCCCGTCATTACGCTGGCCTACCTGAGGAAAATGAGTTTGTCACAGACTCCCGAGGACTTAAAGGAATTATTGACTATTTGGCTCAAAACATCACGAGTAAAATTAAAACTGAGAAAGTTGTCACACAAATAAAGTATAGTTCAGACGGAATTGAAGTGCGCACAAAAGACAACGAAACCTACAAGGCGAAGTATGGTTTATGCACATTCAGCACAGGAGTCTTAGCTTCGGATTTAGTCGAATTTATTCCAGAGTTGCCCAAATGGAAGAAAGAAGCCATAAGTAGAATCCCTCTTGCGTACTACACCAACATTTTTGTGAAGTTTCCAAACGCGTTCTGGGAAGACAACGAGTTTATTATTAACGCAGGGTCCATAGCTGAAACGTTTCCTCACTTGTACAACTTGAACAAGAAAGGAATTCACGAAGGTTCAAATGTACTGTTATTTACAGCAGTGGAAGAGAATTCTCTTCGTATTGAGGGGCAAAGTAAAAACGAGACGATAGCTGAAGTTATGAAAACGTTAAGAGAAATGTATCCGAATGTCAGTATCCCACAGCCCACAGGTAAGCCAAGAAAAGAAACATTTCTGTGAATAAATTCAGCAGAACAACTGAACAAGAGGCACGAGTTTCAAGGCAGAATGCTTCCAGAAAGTTTTCGATCTAGTTTACCTATCGTCTGGGCACCCCAGTTGTATTTTTCCGCCCGCCCGTTCTCCTGCCTTACAGTAGTTTTCACAGTCGCAAGTTCTCCCCCCAAAACCCGGCTGCTACGCAGGCTCGGTTGCATTAAAATTCTTAACTATCTGACCTGATAACAAATAAAATACTTGCTGATTGGTTAATCGGTTTTGCACTAACTAGTTAACTTAAACTGCCTTTTTATACAACCGGCCCCTGCAAGACTCGAATAGTTGTTTTCGTCAGCTTGCTCGCAAGGTTCTGCAGTGAAAAAGTTGTTGTTTGCCGTAGTTCACTAACACAATATTTTTAATTTCCAGAGGTCTACGTTAGCCAGTTCAATGAAAATCCTTACATCCGCGGTGGCTTCAGCAATGCTGTTGTTGGTAGCACGTTGGCTGACTTTCATAATTTGCAAGGTCGCTTGGGTAACCTGTTCTTCGCAGGGGAGGCAACTGAAGAGGATTACTGGGGTTTTACACAGGGGGGTTATCTGACTGGTTTGAAGCAAGCCAAAGTGATCCTCGTCTGTCTAAATGGAAAGAACTGCCCAGAGTACGAGTCTGAGGACGCTGATATATGTAAAACTAAGAGCAACATTGTTCCTAGTGCTGGGAATATTGCGAAGTCTTCTTATGCTTGTTTTTTCTTGCTAGTTGTATATATATTGTTTGTCTAAGTCATGTTACTTTTTGTGACTGTAGTGCTAAACTGAGATAGTTCTTACCAAACTTTAATTAGCACCTTATTAGCCTTATCAGCACCTTATTAGCCTTATCAGCAACTTATTAGCCATATCAGCAACTTATTAGCCATATCAGCAACTTATTAGCCATATCAGCACCTTATTAGCCTTATCAGCACCTTATTAGCCTTATCAGCACCTTATTAACCTTATCAGCACCTTATTAGACTTATCAGCACCTTATTAGACTTATCAGCACCTTATTAACCTTATCAGCACCTTATTAGCCTTATCAGCACCTTATTAGCCTTATCAGCACTTTATTAGCCTTATCAGCACCTTATTAGCCATATCAGCACCTTATTAGCCTTACCAGCACCTTATCAGCACCTTATTAGCCTTACCAGCACCATATTAGCCTTACCAGCACCATATCAGTCATATCAGCACCTTATTTGCCTTACCAGCACCTTATTAGCCTTACCAGCACCTTATTAGCCTTACCAGCACCTTATTAGCCATATCAGCACCTTATTAGCCTTGTCAGCACCTAATTGTTTAGCTTCTTAGCTTGTTTCTTTTTCTTTGTTATTGTGTATACAAAAATTATAACGTTTAACTAAGTGTACTTTTGTGTGTACAATGTTAAACTAAGATATTTACCAATCTTAATATCAGCACATTATTAATTGTTTCGCTTCTTTTGACTTTTGCTTGTTTTTTCGTGCATGGTTATTGTGTATAAAATGTCAAACTACGATATTACTGTATATTTTTATGAAGTAGTTAATATGACCACAAATAACAATTGTGCAAAATTTGTCTATTCACAAAAATGTTCCAAAATGACGTCACAATAACGTTGGTGCAGAATAGTAATACATGTAGGTTAGGTTTGGGATCCATTATCCCATTTACCATTAGGGTAAAGATCAGGAGCAAAAAAGATTTGTGTTACGGTAAGGATATTGTAAGAATTGGGCTCAAGATAAGGATTTTAAGGATTACAAATTGTTGAATGGGGAAGAAAATCACTGCTGTTAATATGAAAATTGACCTCAAAGGCCAAACTTTGGATCTAAATCATAAAACTGAAGACCGATTTTCACTTGGCAAGACGGGTATAAGCAAGAAACCAAAACAGGACTTTCCCCTGATACCCACAAACGAAAAAACAGGTTGCATCAAGTCTCCATGTATCTGTTACTAGTTCTTATTAGTTGTTGTAGTGGTTAGTTTTGTTGTAGTGGAGTAGTTATTGCAGCTGTTGGTATATTGTGCAACTGGAGCTTGTTACAGAGCTGTTGTTGACTACCGCTAGGCGCTAATGCACGATTGATGACTGACTGACCAGCAAGCTGACTGATACTGTGACTATTAACAATCTGCTCAATAAAGATGCAGTATTTCCAAATATTTCCAAATATTTCGCAAATATTTTTTGAAAGGGCTAAACCATCTAGCTCATCTTTGGACAAAATGACAAAGTAAGTTCCTATGAACTTAGTTTTTGTACATTACTGTGAAAGATAAAATGAATTTATCTTTACTCTGAGTCATATATTATACTGTATGTGATTGCAAAACCAAATTGTTATAGGCCCATGGTAGAAAACTGCAAAACTTTCAGACATTTAACCTTTCATACTTTCGTCATATGAACATAGATTCAACTATTAACTGTATGTTGTAAAACAAAAACGTGTTTACACACTGACAATAGACAGCAATACAAGCACCTGCACAGGCAATTTTTTATTTTAAATTGTGTTTTTGTTATGTGAAAGTTTATGTTTAGTTCTCTTTTGTAAATGTGGCAAGAGTTGGAAGCCCAGGGAAAGTAAAACATTGTGAAGAGGAGCTGATTCATCGTGATTTACACATTCACTGGTCTGAAACAGGATAGGGAGAATCAGAATATTTACGAACACTTCCATTGCCACAACTGAAACCAAGTAGATGGTTGGTTACAAAACCTGATTGTGAAATTTCCAACAAACTTGACAATCAACTAGCCAACTTGTAGCCAAATTTAAAACTTACGAACAAACTTCACAAGATCTGTGAAACAAACCTTTACAACTTTTAACAATAACTTTTTGTGAATTTCACAATACATTTGAACATGGCTCATCCAATTTCTGAATCAACTTGTCAATTTTAAGTTTAATGAACAAATCAACTGCAATCTACAGTGTATTAGTTTGAGCCCTTGCAAATTATTCAGCCCAGATTGTAAAGTTTTATTTTTGCACAGGGGATGTCTATGTGGTGCATGGCAGTTGCACAGAAATGAAGGCAGAATATTTGAGAATGGCTGCATTGTATGCATAGCCAAGCAGGCATTTTCAGTATGAATTAGTCAGGCAGTCATTTGTATATGAAGCTTCCTCTCAATACAAAATAGACAAAATAAATGCATTAGTTCACAAAAAACTATGCAGAATTTGATTAAAATTCACTGGACAGAAGTCAAAGCTGGAATATCTGAAACTTTACAGCCTGGTATTCAACTACAGACAATTCATTCATTATGCTTATTAATGGACCTTTCACCTTTTGACTAAAATTTAGATCTCAACAAGTCTAGACAAGAATTTTATCACAGCTTGAAAGAGCATCACAAAATTAGTAATATTCCAAAGTTTCATTGCGAAATGTTGTAAAATGCGGTAATATAGCCTTGCGAAGTTTGCCATTTTCAGTCATTTTGTATTACGCGCGGGAAATACATGCCTCCTTCGGGAAAAGGGTATGTATTTCCCGTTTGTAATACAAAATGACTGAAAATTGCAAACTTCGCAAGGCTATATTATCCGCATTTTAAAACATTTCGCAACGAAACTTCGGAATATTACTAATTTTGTGATGCTCTTTCAAGCTGTGATAAAATTTTTGTCT